CTTTATCTAGGGTTGTAACGCAGTACATGATGGATAGTGACAAGCAGATGGTGTAACTTTCAGATCAGCTATTTTGTCTGTCGTAAAGGATGATAATGTTAATTACCATGCCGCCACACCAAATTTTGATTTTATTATACACGTCTAAACTTGTGACAACTTTATGACAGACGTTCTCCATCGGATAACACGTGGTTATATCGACATGCTTTACCCCGTGTGCCGTTATTTCATACCTTATCGGTACAGTTATTATCAACCCCCTCCCCCTTTTTTCCAATTGATAGTTGTTCCGCCATCATTGGACACCAGGTAATCAATACACACATTAATTACCTTGTCATTTATAGACTTTAAATGGTTTCTATACATAATTATATATTTAAAGTAAAATTAAATAACTGACAATATGCTCTTTTAAATCATTCAATATGTAAAATGTTTTCGTCAAGGACATTAAACCAAAATACTATATAACCAAATGACATAATTGCTAGATCATTTTACCTTGTGAACATAGAGATAGTAAAAACAGATGTGAATATTAATGTATCCATTTGAAAATGACTCGGGTGGAGTCATGGCGCAGAAAATAGGGTTTCTGTGTGTAAAAGGATCGAGAAAGTGGCCGGACAAAAATGATGATCGAACTGAGGATAGACCGATCACATTACCACTTCTGCCAAATTAGGATTCACGACTTTATGAAAATCAGGTAACCATTGTTACGTATAATTTAATTCTAGTTTTGCCACTTTCTTTAAAACACACTCAGATGTATTTACTGCGCATGTTTTTAGAGTATATTTAACCGTTTTCGCTTTTTTCACATTTATATTATTATACCTACTGATGGATAGATACAAAAAGTCTTTTGTAAAAAAAAAAAAAAATGAAATTCAAGGATACAATCTAGCATTCAATGATGCAAAGGAAAATTTCACAATTTGCAGTTCCCACAACATTTTCTTTCGGATCACTTTTAAGTTCAACCCGTTTTTATGGGGTTCCTGTATCCCAATCTTTTGTTTTATTAAGCTAGTTCTCTCCCTTGCAACATACGGGTATCTGAGTAACCCGTGTTGTCTGTCAGAGCCAACCATCAACCATAAAAGGGACAGGGAAGCAGTTTACAGTTTTCTCTGCATTGTTTAACGAACTGTCGGTTGTTCTTTTGCCCTTTTCTTTTTTATTGTCTTGATATGATTGACCTACTTGCCACTGAGCGTTAAACACACAACAATCAATAGGTCATTTTAATCATGGTGTTTCTGATTGACATATGTGGTTTTTATAACCCTCCCCTTTGTACTATTCACTCAGTTTGATTCTAAATCATTATCAGATTGCTTCTGCACTCTTGAAAATAATGTCACGAAGAAGTGCACATTTTAAAGGACCTTATGGTGCGATATTTAACCATTTGAGTTTTTTTTTTCTGCAAAAGTGTAGAATGACTATAAATGATTACACAACAAATTTCTCAAAGGTTTTTGATATTGGCCTTATTTCAAAGATACACCCTCGCCAACACTTGATAAGCAATAAAATGAAATCTTGAATAAACTTTAATTAACAGCAATCCAACAACACAATAAAAATAGAAAAGACCTAGAGTTCAATGTACGGGTTAAAATAAAAGACAACGGATAATATGCCCCTTGCCAAGCTCTTAGTTGCTCCGAATCCGAATTAGAAGACATGACATGCGTGTCTAGCGAAACAAAATACGTCAGCATTTTCATAGAATTAATAAAAAATCCAAAATAATCAGATTTTTTCATCTTCGAAATAATTTTCAAAAAATAAAATGTTATTAATTTATTAATTTGATATAGGCTTGTTGTTTAAATAAACTCTATCTTTACGCATATACATTTAGGGCCTGTTGTATTTTATACCTAGATAGAAAAAAAATGTTGCGGTTTTTTACGAGAATCAGTCTTGTTATTTCTATTGTAATATTCAATCCATTTTACTGTCTCTCATATGATTTCTTACTTATCATGCTAGTAAGAGGTCACTTGTTTATGTAAGTATGTTATCAATATATGTTTTACCACATAGATTTTATGACTTTACGTGGAAGCCTTAAAATAACCCAAAATACATTAAGTGATCTTCATACGAAATCAAGTACTATTTGTTCACACTTTTAATGTTACAACATGTATATAGGATTTTCCGTTTACAAGTAACTGCCTGTGTTATACTTGTTAAAATTCAAACAATATTTAATTTTATTGCTTTGAAAAATCTAAATTGTTTAGATATAACTTGACATAAATCAATATAACTACAAAATTTATAAAGTTAATTTTACTTATCTTGACGTTTCGCTACTGTGAATTACCGTATTAGTCTTAATTTAACGCTTTAAATGACAGATTAAATTATGTTTTTCTATAATTACTTAATGAGAATATATCATATATGGGGGAAAATCATAAATATAATCGAAATTTTAAACATGGATGAAAATCATATTTTTTCGTTTGTACTTTATTTTTTAAATCGATTTCTTCCTCTCACTTTAATTTTTTTGAAAGTGCATTTATGAGTCATAATACGGCAATTATGCATATTTTATAACTATCGATACTGCAGAACAAAAGTTACATCGTTTTTAATTTCACAAAGCGTTTACCGTTTACGGAATGATCTACTTCCATAAAGTACGGAAATCCACGAAGGTATGCAATTTAAATTTTTAAATTGACAGGTTCATTGTCTCAGCCTCGTTGTCATGCACTGACTGCTGACAAAGATCTTAAATATCATGTTACATTTTTTATAAGTTAATTCAATCGTTGTTATAACTTATTCATAGTCCACAAAGAGCTGTAGCCAGAGAAACAATACAAAATCAAAATGGCCGACATTCGAACGACGGATAGTATAAATGTCGAATTAAAAACACAGTGTTGATGGAAAGAGGGTATAAAAATGATGGAGATGGAGGACCCTATTTTAAGCATCCATGATTTGTACCCTCAGACTATTGGTCAGTCTGGACCGATCACTACATTCATTCTTGAAGGGACTAAACTCAAAGTGCCGGAGGTAGGGATGTGTACTCCTTGTCTAAGTTTTTTATCTTTTTGTTCCTTGTACTAACTTATCTTTTTTTTTATGATTTCCTGTATTTTCGCTTAAAGAAGAGACATACTTTGTTGTTTTATGTCTTTTATTTTATACATGATTATGTGACCACTTTATTCTAAGAGTAGTAACATGGCGCTCTGTTTCTGTTATTGTCATGGAACCTTTACCCCGGTTTGGATTTAAGCGATCTCGGCAAATTCGGTATGCTTGTAGTTATACCTCATATTTCATAATTTTTATATAGGCTAAGGAAAATGTTTTATGTCATTAAATCTCATTAAGGATACCAGACTTATAATTTGATAAAATAGACGGGCATTTCATTAGACTCATCATTTTCAAAAATGTTCCAAACTTCACCCTTGTCAACTGATTATATGTTGTGTTATTACGTAACTGTTCCAGATCAGGAGAGGTCAGGATTAAGCGCTAATAAACATGTTAAAACTTTAAACTCATCATATTCTGTAAATCACTACAAAGCCAGGGTCATGCGTTCCAGGAGCTTCGGTGGCCGATTGGTCTAAGTAGTCGAATTACTGTATCACTAGCCTGTCAACGGTGAAGTTGTGACTTCTAATCCCGCACGTGGCAGGTGTGCTCCGACTCCAATCTTAATTGACTATGATTGTCAGTTTTCCTACGGAAGGTTGGTGTTTCTCTCCGACTTCCTCCACCATTAAAAACTTATCGCCACAAAAGAGTATAATAGTGCTGAAAGTGGCGTTAAACACCAATCAACCAATCAATCGATCATGCGTTCCATTTTAAGTCGTTGGTTGCTGTCTGCCATATTTTTTTTCGTTCATTATTTTAGTTGGAGTTAGGTCATTGGTTTTATTTTTTGAATTGTTTCGCATTTTGTCCTACTGGGATTTTATATATGCAGTCAGCAGGGTTTAAGAACATCAGTTGTTCGACCTGTTAGTTAAATGCGTTTTGTTAAAATATACTTTTTCACTTTTTTGGTCTTTTGGAAATTGTTGTTTGTGCTGTATTTAGACCCCTCTACAACGAAATTTGTTTTACATGCACACGTATGAAAATTGCGGTTTTTATCCAACGCATTCATAGGTTTGAACGTTGTTTTCAATTTAGACTTGTTTATATATATATATATATATATATATATTACTGTATATGTTATTGGTTTTGCTCATTGTTGATACCTTATGTGGACCTGTGATTGTTCTCATCTTTGTTCTTTAATCTTTATGATAAGTCGTCTCATTGGCTATCATAATTACCATATTTCCATATGTTATAAAGTTGGAAATATTTGGAATAATATTGTCTAACAACCATTTATGAAACAATAAGTTATTAACTGCAAAATATCTTACTTCAATTTCAATATACATGTCTATTATATGAAGGAGGATGACGGCCACCTCCTGTAGCTTATATGAGGGGCGGTAGGAGGGGGTGTCATCCCGAATTCCCGAAACAATATATCATTCTCTCCCGGATCCCGAAAAAATCATCATTAGTTCCCGAGTCCTGATAGGTGTAAATCCCGAATTCCCGCGAAAATAACGGCCATATTCCGAATTCCTGCAAAATTAATGGTCCAATCCAAACGTCCCGAAAAAAAGACCTTCCGCCTCTCTTATATCAAAAGTCACCAGAATCGAGTATCTAGACTGCTCTGTAAATCTGAAATAAACAAGATATTCATTAGTACAAGATTTTTTATCTTTTGAATGGTTTTGCATTTTTGCACACGGGATTTTTTATAGCTTACTTTATGGTATAACGTTTGCTCATTGTTTAAGGCCACATGGTGACCTATAATTGTTTACATTCTCTTCCTTTTGGTTGCTGGTGAATAGTTATTTCATTAAATATTATACTAGATCTTATTTTTATATACATGTCCATTCTTCTGTTTTCAGTATCGGCAAATGTCCTACACTAGTACTGGGCGCCCGAGAGAATCCGATGATGTAGACTACAATGTTAACCCAGACCCCGTACCTTACCAACCTCAGAATTTTATGTAAGTATACATGCTTTATGCCTGAAATTATATAAAATAAGCATTTTTTTTAGTTTAATTTTAAATATAAGGATAGTTTATCTTAGCATGTTATGACTTCAATACATTGATACCAACCTACAAATAGGAATTAGTACAATAGAAATTATATCTGCTTCCAAATGGAGCAGGTAAAGTAATATTTTAAACAACCACATTTATGCATTTAATGATTTATCATTTGTTGCATGTCCAACCGCACGTATCATGACGAAGAACATTAGAAAGTTTTATACGGCAATATTGAGATGGTTTACATAAGTAATTTGATTCATTGATTGATTGGTGTTTAACTCCACTTTCAACACTATTGTGCTATTTCGTGGCGGTCAGTTGTTATTGATGGAGGAAGCCGGAGTACCCGGAGAGAACCACCGACCTTCGGTAGGAAAACTGACAATCCTAGTCAATTAAGATTGGAGTCGAGTGCACCTGCCCCGTGCGGGATTCGAACTTACAACCTCAGTGTTGACTGGCTAGTGATACAGTAGTTGGACTACTTAGACCACTCGGCCACCGAGGCCCCCATAAGTTATTTGAAAAACGTCCAATATTTTAAGAGATATAGCAGAAAAATTTAATCAAACAGATATACCATCAAATTAGTATGCTAAGTTTTGAAAATAATCTTTATTTTTTCTTTTATTTCTTCGCTGTTCATTTTGATGATTGGATATTCAATTCGTTTGGTTTAAAAAGCATGAATACCAAACCATGTAGTACATATTAAAGTTAAGTGTTCGAATTAGTTTACTTTTATTATTTTCTGAGCTTTTATGTTTCCTCTATTGTTTAAGTCCCCTACCCAAAATATAAATCATGTTCTGACGTTATAAGTACAAACTAACATAATTTTCACTTTCAAATTTCACAAAGAATAAGAGAGTACGTTAAAATCTTTTTGAAAGGAATATTTCCCTTATTATATATTTGTATAGGATATCAAAATAACCGACGGGCACTATATATCACTTTTCATAAGAGTTTATTTTAAAATCTTAACAAACATGCTTGTGTGTTATAGATGTTCTTTCGTGTGAAAGGATAACATAATTCACTCGATAGTTAATTCATTTCGCGATAAGCCACACATTTACAAATGGTTATATTCTTTTTATCGAAAATGACAAATTATACGAGTGTAAATAATTCGATACAAATAATTAATCAACATTTTGTATATTGAATATTTTAGAATTTGGCAAGCAGAGATTATATTAACCACGAATGAAATCTTTTTTGTGTTAATTTTTACATTCATACTATGTTTATGATTATATATCACAATGTTGTACTACTTCTGGTTCGAGGAAAACAGTTACTGACTTACAAACTGTATAAATATTCCATTGAAAGTTCATAGTCCGATTTAAATGTGAGACAAACGATACACATTATCTTATTACCAAACTCTTTTATGATTGATTTAAAACTGGTGATCGATAAAGTCAAGTAAATCGTTATTTTGCAACGAGTAGAACATTGGACAATTTTTTAAACATATTCTCTCTGGCTGGGCTGCAGTACTTTTGCACCAATTGTTAAATACAAAATTTTATTGAAGATTGGCTCATTCGTGAAGTATATTTTTGGTGCACATGATAGTAGGTGTTTTGAAAACGAATGCCACAAACCCATCATTGGCGCAAATGGTAATAGGTGTTTTGGAAACAAGTGCCACAAACCTATTATTGGCGCAAATGAGCATTGGCGCAAAAGGACGCATTTTTGGCGCAAAGGAAAATTACCCTTCTTTCTTTTCTTTGAATTGAGTTGCGAAGTAAATGCTGCTCGATATGGAATTTAATCGGACGAAGAACTTTCAATGCTATATTCGAACTGCTTGTAGCACATTATTCGGTGACAGACATGAGCTCTAGTTGATAAATGATATAAAATGTTTTAATGATTCAAATTCCGTGACTTGCTTATATAAAGGCCTTGATATGGTTACACAATTTAAAGTACCATTGGTTATTTATTGATTAGTATTTTATACTTATTTATCAAATCTTTCATTTAAATGCCTTAATCGTTTAAATTGCTTGTCAAACTTAAGTGTCTTTTATTTATCTGTAGTTTATACTTAATGTATACACATGTCTAATGTTTGCATTCATTTAAACGTCTGGGGGTCTTAAAGTGTACACACTCTATCTCTATACTAAATGTTCTGTTGTTTTAATTATTTTAGGTTCCAACGGTAAATTACTTACTGCTGTGAACTGATTTAGATATAGTTAACTAATGTTTATGCTCTGCTCAAGATTCAGCATTTGAAATTTTGTTGCTGCCAATGCTGTTAAAGAAATGAATATTTTTATTTGTTCGATTTGATTGAAGTGTGATGTGTTATATTGAGTACTTGTATTCAAGTATGTATGTAGTCAGGTCAGATTTAGGAATTTTTGTCAGCTGTTCGGACTCCTTGTGTTTTTCCATCGATACAGGGTAAAATATTTTGCCCCATATCACCCACTTTTCTCGTCATAGAAGACTTCAATAGCTATCATAAGGTCATTACCAAAATTTAAGCAGATTCTAGATTTTTTTCTTACGCGGATTTGAGACCCAATTAATGCCAATGCTAAATATAAGGTAAAAGTCCGAGTCAGCCTTTTCCCGCCTTTTATTAAAAAAATCAAATATCTCAAAATGGAGTTCCATTATTTTGTTCCTTGACTAATTCTCTTCTGGCTTATAGTATCAATTTTAAATTCTAGATTTTTTAAATTTCACTTAACTACATCCTTAAGTATTTTTACTTTAGTGGTATCATGCAAGATAAACGCAAAACAAACGAAAATATATCAATTTCTTTTAACATCTATTTATTTATCACGTTCCCTTTTCTTTCCTTTGTCAATATAGAAGGTTAAATATCGTATCAGAAGTTCAAAATAATACCATTAAGAACCTTCAAGTGAAATGGACTGAATTTTCTAAATTAAGGTCTTGGTGATATTTGAAAATTGTTTAAGAATTTGTTAATTTTCATGTTTTGTTCCGTATCTATGTATGTTATATAAAAATATTTGATAAAAAACGCATCACTTTTGAATGAAAGATATACAAGGTACTAATATGATACTTTTGTAAATTTTTCGTTCAAATAAACAGTCGCTAATATTAGACTTTTAAGAATGCTGAGAATGTTATATTACAGTAAATGATTTTCCTTTTTGTTTCAAAGGTACAAACGGTAATAATTGTTAAACTAATTATTAATTTTCATTTACTAACTGTCATTTCCAATATATCTATTATATATCCGTATATACGTTATTCAATGTTTAATATGTTTAACAGATATTAAGCCAATACTTGAATCAATACATTTGCCTTGTCTATGACATAAAATTTCAAAGCCTTAAATATTTTCAGATTTCAAACGTCAAATCTCTCAAACAATCGGTTACTACATTTTGTATAAGCTGAAACGAAAGTCAGATAATTCTGTCTCTTTTTCTGTCAAGTTTTTTTTTTGGGGGTGATTCCTTTTATCCTTTTATATCTTTGGAATGAGCAATACCTTATTAAGTGTTTTTAACATTGGAACAACATCAATGCTAGATTATCTGCAGATTTCTTGCAACTTTGGTGTCTAGTCCAAAACAACAACAAAACGACGCAAAAATTAAAAAAGAATTAAGTAGAATTTAAATATGGTTTAAACGATATTGAATCATAATACTTCTTTCATTGAAAAAAATGCATTGTTAAAAGATAGACATTAAGAATAATGTGTTTTGCTTAAAGAAATTTTAGAAATATCAACCAACAAAAAATGTTTGATGCTCATTTAAGAAATCAATTGTTAAAAAGTTTCAACTTCTCTTAATTACCTTATTTATTTTACAAGATATTCTTCAAACTTACGAAATTTTATATTTCATACCAAAGGAAGAAACGGTAATTTCTGTCTTTTAAGGTGGTACCCAACACCTTGACTAATATTAATTTGGCTCGTTTAATATTCCTAAAATTTTGACAAAATGTTTACTTTGACCCTTTGACAAAAATATAAAAATTTCAAATAATTTGAACCAACCACTTTATCAGAAAAATTTCACTGGTTATATAGCAGTTTGACAAACACTAATTTTGATCATTGAGAAGCTTAATATTTCCTTAACAATACAACGTGATTAAAACGTTAAGTTGATTTTTACAGAGTTATCTCCCTGTAGTGTTAGGTACCACCTTAAGTCTTTTCTACTAATACATAGTTCATTGGTCTGTTAAAAGATTGTGAGAATTGTCCTGGCCAGATCTTTGAAGATTAATAATAACTTTAAATGGAGGTCTTCCTTTGCCATCCATGCAGTTTTCTCAAATATGTACGATTCGAATTTGAGTCTAAAAGCGACAGTAAGAAATTTTACAAATATGCATGTAAAATGAAAAAGCAAGTGTATAACAAAGACATGTACCAATCCTATAATATAAGACTACGTTGGTCCATATCGTTTGCATACGACGTTTTTTATCGGATATTTTTATGCCCCGCCGTAGGCAGTGGGGGCATTAAGTGTTACCCTTGACAGTCCTTTCGTCCGTCTTTCCGTCCGTCTGCCCGTACTTCTGTCCCTCCAATTTTCGTTCCCGCACTCTTATGTTTTCTCATCCACATTTTATGAAACTCATACACAATGATAAGAATAAATACACGCAGACAGAGTTCGAATTTGAGCAATGAGTCACATACCGTTCTAGAGTTATGCCCCTATTTAACTTATTTTATTGATTGATTGATTGGGTGTTTAATGCCACTTTCAACACTATTGTGCTATTTCGTGGCGATCAGTTTTTATTGGTGGAGAAAGCCGGAGTGCCCGGAGAGAACCACCAACCTTCGGTAGGAAAACTGACAATCCTGAGATTGGAGTCGAGTGCACCTGTCCCGTGCGGGATTCGAACTCACAACCTCAGTGTTGACTGGCTAGTGATGCAGTAGTTCGACTATTTAAACCACTGGGTCACCGAGGCCCCTCTTTTTAACTTGAAAAATTGCAAAGCTTGAGAGGGGGAATTCGTGTCCACGGACACATTTTTCTTTTATTTTTTACTATCAATGCTGAAACACGCATTGCTAGTAAAAAAAAACAAAAAAAACTATCCAATAAAATACAAAACACGTTGAATGCGAAAGATATGGAACTTCATAGTCTTATATTATAGGACTAACACAGGGACTTATTTTCAGGAGTAACTGTAGTTATATATTGTAATTATGTCTTGTCGGCCAGTTTTTGTTATGAAAATAGCATACTCATCTTTGAAATTCTCAATGCATTCCCACTTTATAAACAATTATCGCACCGCATAAATACTCAATGCACATTTGCCTATAAAATCTGTCGATATATAAACAGCAAATATTCTGTATATGAGGGTGTGATGGGGTTGACAGAAAAAAGAATAATGGGCAAAATGTGCAGAAAAAAGATTTGAAAAAAATAAAGAGTAGAGAAAATTAGGTTTAAAAAAACTAAAGAATAGAGAATAATAGGGTGTTAAAATAGAGAGAATAGAAAATAACATGCAAAATTTATAAAGAATGGTGAGAAAATGGCCTAGAAAACTAAAAAAATGAAGAATCCCCATCAAGACTCATGTGTTTAGCTTTTGAGTCCATTTCAAAGTGTTATCTTTTATATATGACAAACCTACGTAGGAAGATATATTGTTGTAAGAAATGTTTAGACCCTGTTCATTTTTATCAAATGCTTGGGTTCATACTTTTTGTTTTTTGAGTGAGGCTTTATACCCGCTTATTTGTCTTTAGTGTTAATCCATAGTAAAACGATTTTAGGCTCATGAGGCCATTTTGATCTGAACCGGGAATTCTGAAATCAAAAGACTTTTACCGTTTGAATGGTTTTACACTAGTAATTTTTGGGGCCCTTCATAGCTCGCTGTTCGGTGTGAGCCACGGCTCCGTGTTGAAGGCCATACTTTGACCTATAATGGTTTACTTTTATAAATTTTGACTTGGATGGAGAGTTGTCTAATTGGCACTCATACCACATCTTCTTATATCTAATTAATAATGTTATATCTCTCATGGTATGGTCTCATATTTTGACCATTAGTCCAGTGTTGTTTAAATTTGTTTTCATGCACTTTTCGGTCATATCGCTATTCATTATTCGGAAGCCTCATTGTTTTTTCGGGTGATGGTATTTACAGATCAGTTCAGATCAAGATGGCCGCCATTTCAGCATAAAATGTATTTACTGGATATCTATTATCAAGTTTATGTTAGCTGCTTATGGAATGCAAATTAGCAAATCGGGTTCATGCATATCATGAAATTACTTTATTGATTCCATTGTTGAGGGAGCTTGCTGGAGGAAAGGTTTCCATCACGCTAAGCGGGATGTAGTTTGCATGATTGTTTAGTTTGAACGGTATTGGTTAAACATATATGTAAAGGGGTAAAAAAATGAAAATAAATACTTATAACCGAAATAGTGTTTTGTCTATACTTTGCATTACAGTTACGCAATTAGTCAATGACAGAGCATATTTTTTAACTTATTATAATGTAATATTGCCCGATATATATGAAATTCGGTCAGATGGGAATACGGTTACTTTTCCACACTATGCTCTACAAAGGATCTTTCGGTGTTTAATTTTGACCTACGTTTGTTTTGAATATCTTTCGGGATTTGCCGTAATGTTATTTACCTTGAAAAATTCTTGAATTTCATTGGTCGAATCAAAACAGAAAGTAGAAAGGAGCATAACCAGATTCTTTTGACGGCAAAGTGTGGATTCAGGATCTGTATTTAAATCAGATTGAAATAAATTACCGATAATTTTACTTGCCCATAACATATAGAGTAATATTTTTAAAAATATTGTAATGTATACGTAACACATTTAGGCGTCCATATAGCTATCATGGTTTGGACTCTGAGTAAGTATAATGGAGTGCGTGATATAACAAGAAATTTAAGAACTGAGAAAAATGTGTGAAATATCAACTACTGATAAATATACTGTGCAGCTTATGTCGATTTCACTGATGTCGATTTCTCTCATGTCGATTACGCAATTTTCGCCCATTGAGAGCCCTTTCTAATTCAGTCTAAAATTATTGAAAAAATATTGAAATCAAAATATTTTCTTTTTATGTTCAATTCTTATTATTAAAATGAAAATAAAAAGCATTTCGGACTATAGGGTGGATGAAGGGACCGATATAGGAGTTGTACCCTCTTTGTGGCTACCCCCACCGTGGACAGGCAGAAATGGCAAAATCCATTTTAGCTGTGATGTTTATTTAGATTATTATGAATAAGTTCAATACGCAATGCTTGAAATTCAAATGATTATTGCATCAAATTCTTACTATTAGGGCAAACTTATATTACAATAATAAGGTATGGGAATTCGTGTTCGAAGCAACAGCATGTTTATCAAGGAGTCATTTGAAGTATCAAAAAACGAGTAAAACAATAAGTGTATTTTAAGCATCATTAACTTTTAATACAGGAATTCGTACCGTATAGTTCATAGGTCGATTTGGTAGCATTTATATGACAAATAATGATATAAAAAAAAACGCTGCCAAGTCCAATGCAAGTTCGTATGCAAATACTCTTGTATTCAAATAACTTAGGATACTATTACAATAAACAAACTTTAATTTTGTGATGCATGTACAATATTTTGTTAACAGCATGTTAATTATACTTATTAATTTACATGGAATTTTATTTGATGTGTGTTTATGTAATACGCATGAAATTTGAACAGATGTTTTTTTAATTGTATTTTTTTTTTTTTTTTTTTTTTTTGTGTGACTCTTACAGTGACTTAGGAATTATAAGTAAAGACATTTATACCGTAAAAATTGACTTGAATTATAACGTCAATTTAAACATTGTCATTAATTATAAATTAAATGTTTACAAAACTTTTTTGTATTTTTTCGAAATATTTATGATTATCTACCAACCTTGAATAGATTGCCTTAGCTTTATTCGGCAAAACCTTCAGAAATGTTGGATCTTTAATGCTCTTCAACTTCATACTCTATTTGGCTTTTTTGACTTTTTTATTCGAGCATCACTGATGAGTCTTTTGTAGAGAAAACGCGCGTCTGGCGTACAAATTTTACTCCTGGTATCTATGAGTTTATATACTTTTTTCATATCACCGACTTTAAAGATTTGAATCAGGGATAAAAACATTGCTAAAATAAATCCTCGTAGATATTGGGCCGTATAAAAAAAACGCGAAATATATGCCACGCGAAATTACACTACTTAACAGTATATGGTAATATGAATAGCTTTTATTATTTATTTCATTTAAAGTAAACGATGTAAACAAATTTATTTACCTTAATTTGATAAGAAGTAGACGTACTTGTATCCGTGCGTTCCGTTAGGATAAGTTAGCATTTCAAATCTCCCACGGACCACTCTTTTGGTGTCGTATATCCATTTCTTACGATTTGCATTATATTACAGGCTTTATTTATTAGAAATAAAAAAAATACTGAAGTTGTCTCTTTAAATTTTATGATTATTTGTTTAGAAGAAAATATAAAAATTCAATAACACTGAATAATTTATGTATAATACAAAATCTATTACATATTGTGTAAAAATTGTTAAATGGGTTTCTGTCACCAATGTAAACAAAGTCAAAATCTGAGCAAATAAAATGTAAATGGGATTTAAAAAATGCAATAGATTTTGATGAACGTATGTTCATATATTGTGCATTTGGAAAGTGGAACTTGATATAAATGGAGACCACATACTGGTGTCCCTATCATCAAAAAGAGAAAACATCTTTATTTGTAACGGGACAGCAACTGGTTCCTATAAGAAAATCACAACATACGGTCAAGGTAATGCTTACTTTAATATGTTTCTAATGTTATTTAGGTCTTCGACTTTACTGAAAAAAGTAACAGTACCAAAACGTCACTTAGATTCATTTGCTGGATATGAGTATACCCTAGGTGCAAAACGTGGAGTTATTTTACATACAGATAGATATCAAGTGAGTAAACATTCTTGCACACAATACTGCGAAGAATTTCATTTCAGCATGAATAAGAGTTTATGCAGGTGTTACACAGCGTTAAGGAACATCATTGAAAATTTCTTATCTGATTTCCGATCAGTTCTTACGAGCAACATTGTATACGTGTTGCCATAAGTTTCCTAATTATTATACTGCACAACTATTTCTAGTGTCCGGCTTTGATTGACAGAAGTTCGATATATAATTTTGTTTCTCTAAAGAATAATGTTCAACCAAATACAGACTATTTATAAAGAAGATTGTTCTGGCAGTGAGAACAATGACAAAAGTAAAATCAATGTATTATTATTAAGGGAATGAGTTTTTCGGATACTTTATAAATAAAAGGTTCAAATTCGACATTGCCGCTTGCATACATTGCTTGCAGATGTTATTTGGTTTACAGTATGGTTAACTTTAATCATCGTAAATGAGATGATGAACTTCATATAATGGTATTTATAGACGCGAGGTAATATTTCCTTCTTGGAAAACAAAAAATGAAGATTTTGAGTTAAGATGCATTCAGGATAAATAACTAAAAACACATCACATGACTTTACACTTGACTGAATTAATGAGTTTTACAATGCATTTATTCACATTGTTTAAATAATTTCATTACTCTCCATGTTTAGAATTCTGCACCTTATCTCTCTGTACATTCATCGTCCTGTATATACATGGAATATTTGCCACTGGACGTTAAGCAAGCAATGTTACACCAATCTCTGTCAATACTTCATTATAAGCATTTTTGCTTTGTTAGGGCTTATTAGAGATCTCTCTTGATGAAATCAATCATATATTTACTTTAATTGTTACTCGACGTCTAAAAATACCATTGAATGATCATTAATGCAATAACGGACCGACGAAAGCATTAATTTATTAATGACTCTTGTTTTTATACAAAAATTGAACGTTTTACTTCTATCTGTAATTCACAAACAGACGAAACTCATAAAAATCTATTCTATTCCATATTCGATAAAATGTCTGTAAAAAACTGCAAAAGAAAATATTTCAAGAATTAAGTTAGGAACAACCGGCGGAAAGTACAGCTTAGCATGCTGATCATTGATTAAATAACGACCTTTCAATGGTATAAACAAACGCAGTGTACAATTTGTATACATGTATGCTTCTTCACAAACTTTCTTTCACAGTAACTCTTAGTCGTTTGATCTATTTGCAAAATGCCTAATGTTTTTTTTTTCTTAGTAAGATAAAATGACATCACAGTACGAAGTTACTTTACTTACATGAACAAATACCGTTAAAAATCCAGTCTGTTTTATTTCAAGGATAAAGTCTGCTAAGATATGTTAGTTTATTTAAATGACGCAATAATTGTATATTGCCTTTGCACATATAAAGTACATGAACAAAGGAACAGCCTGCTCTTTTTCCCCTTTTCTATCAAAGTTTTTACCAAGAAGACATTTATCCCGATAATATTCGTTTTAATAAATCCCTGACAACACGTAAGACCCAATTGTAATGTTAACTGGCAATTTTGATAAGGCATCGTTACAAGTAGTGGTTCATACGAGAATCGTGCAAAATCAAATTTTTTGATACACCTCGTTTAAAGCTTTAACTATATTTTTTTTATCGATCAATTCCAATATAAGTGTAAATAAAAGAGTGAGTTATATTTTCAATTTACTATCTCGCCAGAGCAGTAAATAGGCATGTAATATAGAGTATGGTTGGAGTTATCTCCCTCAGTATCTCGCCAGAGCAGTAAATAGCCATGTAATATAGAGTATGGTTGGAGTTATCTCCCTCAGTACAAGAATTATAATACATTCTAAAGAATTTACTTTTAACCTAGCTGGTACGGGTTCATACTAAACATAATAGAAATTATGAATCACAACATTCTTTCATTTGTAGGTTTTTCACCCGTGCAATTTTCTAAAAAAAACTTAATAACAAGTTAATCTGCCCGATAATTCCAAATCTTCAATATGTGTAGTTTTCCTTGCTTATGTGTTTGTTGAAAATCTAAAATATGTCATAGAAAACACATTTTACAAATGAACTTACCTTAACACAGAGCAATCATGTTTCAATGCCCGGGGTCCAGGATTGGTTTAATAGAATAGAGTTTAATGTGCAAAATGTAGAGAATAGTGGCCAAAATAAATGAAGAGTAGGGAACAATTGTCCAATAATAAATGAAGAATAGATAATAGTTAGATGATAGAATAGAAATAATAGAGAATGAAGGAAGTGATGGGAAACAACAATGCTGAACATAGAAAAATGACCTTCAAAATTATAGAATACAGAAATGATTTACTCCTACACCCTTTCCCCATCCATACCCTTGTACCTGTAGAAAAGATTGTCTGTCCTTTCCTGTTGTATCCATTAGACGCTTAACATTTACGCCCCTCTAACACTGCATTCTGTCATAGTTGAATTTTCTATTATTGCAGACAGATGGCGCTCTGAAGGTATAGTAGAACATGCTCACATTTGTATAGATGCTAGTAAAGTGTGGTTTTAAGTAAACGACTTTTATATTTCACAACACTTTGTGTTTTGTGAATAAATTGAATTGTCTTGGCATTACTGTTTATGGTTCAGACTATCCAGCTATTGAAAAGTTCAGTTAAATTATTATTCACATTGGCAGCCATCTTGAATTAGCAACGACATACAGTTGCAATATTCATGCAAAAATATTACCCTTTTTCTGGAAATTATTAATAACAATTAACAGCATAATATTGACTTAATGTTTACGATTACACTCTTCAAATCAAGACATCTTCCAAGCCCTCTTGTAAATTAGCACAAAAGTGTATATTTACGTATTTTGAAATTTTCACTATTTTTTAATTATTCTTTTTTATTATATATATAATTTATCCATTGGTTTAATCTGATCCATAACAGTGATAGACCATAAATACTTTGATCACATTTTATAATTTTATAAAGATTCACAACTTTAACACGAAACATATTAATGCATGTTATACAACACGTTATTATATCATATATCATCTAATTCATAACACATTATTCATTTCTTTCTTTCAGTGGGCAGGATCAAAAACATTAGACTCGTAAGTATAGCAATTGTCATTTAGGAGATTAGTTCTAATAATCAACTCTGGTCTGTTCTCCTGAAGTATGATACTGCGTATCTTCAGAAAAAATCCCTCATTACAAATTTTTTTTACACAGCTATAAATAGTCGCCGATGGCATTTTGATTTATTTTTAAAGTATGCAAATTTATATAGCTATTAAAAATGTTTGGTAATTTTTTTAAAGAAGACACATGGAAACAAAAAGAATTTCGGAGAGCTTATTTTCTAGTCTATTTAATATAAGATTGTTTTCTCATATATTAGACTAAGTATAAAATGTAAAGGGTATTATAACACATTTACATGCAGTAACTGAATAAGGCCAAATGTGATATTATCTTGAAGCAAATTGTAATATAGTATAAATATATACTGAAACACTGTTTCAGATCATTTTCTAACATAATCGAAATTTTATATAAAATCAGACATGAACAATATTTCCCCCCATTATTGTAGCTTAAGTCAGCGTGATAGACTGAGAGCAGAATTAGAATACATGGAAAAATTACGTGGCATAAAAAGACGACGTGAGGTTCTACCTCATAGAGCACAACTAGATTTGTTAATGGGAGGCAAGCGAGTGGACCTGACAGAACGGTGAGTGATTCATCATCAATTAGGATGAACTCTTTTTTCTCCGTTTTTAGAAAACTTTAAAAGTTTTTATAGACTTACCATACTGACTTCAATTGAGACTGTCGTATATTCATGAAAGTTGTACTTTTTAAATAACAGAATACAAGTTCATATATTGATTTAAAGTCCTTGTCAATAGTGTCCAAATGAGAAATATAAAAAAATAAAAATAAAAGAAGAATGTGTCTGAGAACACGAATGCCCCCGTTTAAGTTTGCAATTTTCGAAGTTAAAAAGGGGCATAACTCTAGAACGGTAAGTGACGCACTGCCCAAATTCAATCTCTGTTTGCTCGTTGTGTTCTTAGCATTGTGTATGAGTTTCATCAAATTTGAGTGAGACAAACTTAATTAAGAGTAAGGAAACTAAATAATTTGCAATTTTCCAAGTTAAAAAGGGGCATTAATCTAGAACAGTAAATGACGGACTGCCCAAATTCGAATTCTGTCTGCGAGGCTTGATTCATAGCATTGTGTATGAGTTTCATAAAATTTGGATAAGAAAAACTTAAGTTAGAGTGCGGAAACGAAAATGGGAAAGTCGGAAAGACGGACGGAAAGACGGTCAATGGTAACACTTAATGCCCCCTTTACCTACGTTGGGTCATATAGAAATCTGTTGTTTTAAGATTGTTTTTATGAACTTGTTTTGGTAACAAATTAAAATGGTATGTTTAGCAAGTATTAACAAAGAAAAAGGGGGATAATGTAAAAACAATTGATTACGTAAAACAATCTTTCAATTATTGATTACAGGATATTTGTTTTTCTATCTCCATCTTGAAAAGCTCATAGGAAGAAACTAAAGGTGACCTTAAGCTGATGTTTTATGTATACATTTAAGGTGGTAAATACTGCACCGATTCGTGATATATCGATGACTAGAAGTGTATGTAAAGGATATCAATTTATAATTAAAAGCATGCTAATTTAAATGGAAAAAATAAAGAATAATAGCCTCCACGCGGTAGTCTAAAGATTAAATTATTCTTTTGTAATTTTTCCAGTCGTACAATTATCCACCTTTATGATTTTAATAAATGCACATAATGGTCAACTCGGTATCGAAGGGGATTTAAAGATGAACTATTTAGTTAAAAAATCTTTTATGTGTGTTTACAAACAATAGTTCTTCTGTAACCCGTTTGATTGTGGATTGATAGAATGTGTCATAAGGTTAATCCTGTAGATATGCCTTGTGTCGACACAGTTTTATCTTTTTACCATTCATGTAAATACTATGAATTTAAATTTTTAATTAGTTAAGCGTGTAATTCTGCAGTAGAGTTAATGCGTCACAAATGAAATGCAATCACTGCAATAAAATTGAGAATGGAAATGGGGAATATGTCAAAGAGACAACAACCCGACCAAAGAGCAGACAACAGCCGAAGGCCACCAATGGGTCTTCAATCAGCAGCGAGAAGTTTTTATGAATGAAGACTTGTATCATTATTGCTATCGTTGCATACGTTTAGGTCATTTGGTCTCTGGCGAAATGTTGTCTCATTGGCAACTATACCACATCGTCTTATTTTTAGATTAACAGAATCATTTTGAAATGTCCTTCCATTTTCTCCCTACATGGAAGAACTTGTTATTTTGTCACGTCGGGGCCCTTTATAGCTTGCTATACGGTATGGAGTTTTGCTCATTGTTTAAGGTCATAACCTTAGTCAAAACGACCGACTTTTGACACGACAAAACGACTGTTTATCTTTGATGTATGGGTTTTAATCCCCCCTCCCCATTGTTAAATTTTTACACCTCTAAGGCAAAATAAGAATGTCCTTATGAACTACGTTTAGTGAGTGACTTATGTGATGAAATATGATAATATATGAAACAAGTTTCAATATGATATTCTAATTTATATTGTAGATTCGATATTCAAAAGGAAATACAAAAGCTGAAATCATTAATTATGCCACAGAATGCACGTGACTTGTTCCACGGGAGAGGTTTCACGTTACCCGAGTGAGTATACTATCATATTGTCATAATATACAATATATGTTTTTTTTTTATTGTCGTTTAGTTGTGTTAAACATCTACTAATCCATGAATTCGTCGTACGTTTTGAATGTTTATTTGTTTGTTTAATTTATTTGCTGTTCTTCCAAGGTCCAGTGACAAATATTTCATGCATATTAAAACGATTAAAAATTATCAATAAATTCAGTAGATAATTTCCCCATTGTGAGTCAACCAGAATGAATGTCGTGAATTTTTTTTACAGCCACTGGGAAAGATGATGATGATAAGTTGATGTTTAAAGTCCAGTGGCAAATATCAGATTGAACGTGCTGGTGCACAACGTATAATATTTCAAACGAAGACATATCGCTCTACCAAGACACATTATTTTGAATTTGAGCCGACCGGTGCTTGTTATAACTTCTACATGACGCATGATTAACGACCAACCAGATAATTCTTAATTTCATAATTTTAGTTTGAATCCCGCACTCGAGTCGAGCACGATTCAAAGCGGGTGTCAATGGGAAAGGGGTTTGCCTGATAGGGCAGATATTTTGTCTTTCAATAGGCCATATACGGACCCCTCTAAAAGATATTGCAATTTGTTTGCAATGGAATGCATTCCAACCTTAATTTATCACATTTAACGTCCCTAATCCGACCGAACATGACTGCGTATTTATACATCCCCTTTAACGCCTCATCACGAGGGAATACCTATTTTGATTTCATTGGCACTCGATATAATGTGTAGTTCCTACATGAAGATGGTCCAAGAACAGTGATGCAACTGATGAGAAAACGTGCTCTTTCAATTTAGTTTTTTTCAGTGAGTACTTTTGGTCAAAAAGTGAATGTGTTTGAGTAGGCTTCTTCGCAAGTGGTAATATATCTCGACAGTTCACTTGTCTTCGAGATTTTGCTTAACAATTTTCAATTACAAGTAATCGTATATATTTTTGAATTTATCCTTAATTTTGAAATGTGAAATAAATTGCATATATTCCTTATCAATGCTTATTTTCCATACAAATATTTTGAATACGAAATGCTTTGGATACAAATAAAAAGTAGCATACATAGAAGTCCTTATTCATGAAAACACAAACCAATACAAACCTTTATCTAAAATGAATGTAAGAAATTTGATTTTTGATTAATGAGATTCAGCATGTCAATTGAGACATTTTCTTCCGATACTTATGTCCTCTGGTTTCGGAATGATAATGTTGTTATTTTTTCCCTAGTAATAGGCGCAATTAAAAAGCTTTGCCCAAGTAGTTTGAAAGAAGATATCAATGTCGATCTCCATCAATCAAGGATTCATAGAATAACATAATCTGAATTATGAATTAGACAGATTCCTGATCTTTTTTGCAAAAAAGTCCTTTGCACTGATTAGGATGTACTCCATACCTGTGCAAGCTATCCCCCACACACATTTTTCGGGGGAAAATGCAATGATAAATAGATGAATAAACTTGATTTGGTTCAAGGACTCAAAGAAGGAAATATTGATTTCTGTATACTTACCCTTCCGCAGAGTGTGATAATATCAAATTTCTATAGGGTTTCAAATTACACAAGATTTGAATTTTTACGTTGTTTCCATATGCGTAAATATCTTTATCCTGGAATCAACCAACTTTTGTACAAAAAAGCAGGTACACAAATCAATGCTTTGTACAAATAAAGTCTCCTATTACTCCGCTTCCACGTTGAGCTAACGGTAGTGTGAATAGTTCATTTTGCGTGACAGTTCATTTTGGGGTCCTCTTCGCGGTCCGCGTTTAAACTAGGTCAATTTCTTTGAAAAATCAAAGACAAATATTTAGATTTAAACAACTAAAGCTTCAAGTGCCGGGTGTCAATTGCAGGATAAAAACAAAATACGTGCATTGTCAGAAATATAAAATTTATTTGTACTCGCTACGAAACATAAGAATATTCCGCCGAACTATTCGTCCTGTTTCTAAAGCTCATACAAATAAATTATATATTTTTCCGACAAAGTACATACATTGTATATTTATCGTTCATATTTAGGTAGTCTAAGTCGCGTATTGTCATTTAAATTTTCAACATTTTGAATTTTGAATCATGTTTGACTATACGGTATGGGTTCGTTCATTGTCGACAGCCATACAGTGACCTATATTGCTTACATCCACGTTATTTGGACTCTGTTGGATAGCTGTCTCATTGGCAGTCATACCACATATTCTTATTTTATATTACCTAAGGAATGACTGTGATATTTTTTCTGTATATGAAGAAATAACATCAAAAATGTGGTGCACACTGGGTTATCTAAAAGTGTGCACCACATTTTGTGCACCGCTCGGCGGGTTATTTAAAAGTGTGCACCACATTTGTTAGCTTATTTTGAATAGACAGAAAACATATTCATACCATATGATTTAATTCTAAATTCCATTTTAAGGAGTAAAGCATGAAAAAAAAAACGTTGATGACGTCACGGTCACATGACAAAAATATGTCTATTAGCTGATAGACAAAAAAGTTTCAGCCAAGCAGAAGACGTGTAACATCCAAAATTAAATTATATGCTAATATCGTCGGCTGTTCTTTGTAACGCCATACAGAGTAAGGATAGACACGATCATTTGTAAACATGTAAATAAAATAATAAGGAGATGTGGTATGATTGACAATGAGACAACTATCCACCAAATTAAAGTTCAGATGAAGCAGATGTTAGCATTTCTAGGCAACCGTACGGCCTTCAACAAGGAGAAAAAACCCATACCGTATAGTTGACTTTAAAAGGCCCGACATAAACAATATGACACAATTCAATCATAACAAAATAATTTACGAAAAAAAATATGACAGACATGAATTAACGACAACCACTGAACTACAGGCTCCTTACTTGGGACAACCACATAAAGACTTGGCGGGGTTAAACATGATTGTGAGGGCTTAACCCTCCACTAACTTGGGACAGTGGTGTAACAACACAACGTAAGAACAAACTATGGAAATCAGTCGATAAGGGCTTAACTCATCAATGAAATACTTTTTGTCGAGCCTGCGACTTTTGTCGCAGAAAGCTCGACATAGGGATAGTGATCCGGCGGCGGCGGCGGCGGCGTAAGCTAACTTCTTAAAAGCTTTGTATTTTAGAAGCTAGAAGACCTGGATGCTTCATACTTTGTATATAGATGCCGTATGTTACGAAGTTTCCGTCTGTCATATGTCCATTGTCCTTGACCTCATTTTCATGGTTCAGTGACTACTTGAAAAAAGTCAACATTTTTTGTAATGTTAATTTCTTTCTTATTATGAGTAATAGGATAACTATATTTAGTATGTGCGTACCGTTCAAGGTCCTCATGCCCGTCAGACAATTTTCATTTGACCTCGACCTCATTTCATGGATCAGTGAACAAGGTTAAGTTTTCGTGGACAAGTCCATATATCAGCTACTATAAGTAGTAGGTCTACTATAGTTGATATATGGAATGATTGTAAGGTGTATATGTCCAACTGGTAGGTGTCATCTGACCTTGACCTCATTTTCATGGTTCAGTGGTCAAAGTTAAGTGTTTGAGTTTTGATCTTTTTTTCTAATACTATATGCAATAGGTCAACTATAAATGGTGTATGGAAATATTTTATGATGTACATGTCAGTCTCACAGGTTTTATTTGACCGTGACCTCATTTTCACGGTACATTTCTCAGTGTTAAGTTTTTGTGTTTTGGTCTGTTTTTCTTCAACTATCAGCAATAGATCAACTATACTTGATGTATGGAAGGATTGTAAGGTGTATATGTCTGTCTTGCAGGTATCATCTGACCTTGACCTCATTTTCATGGTTCATTGGTCAATGTTAAGTACTCATGGTTAAGTTTGTTTCTTAGATACTATAAGCAATAGGTCAACTATATTTAATGCATGAATTGATTGTAAGGTGTACATGTCTGTCTGGCATGGTTCATCTGACCTTGACCACATTTTCATGGTACATTGGTCAATGTTAAGTTTTCTTGTTTAAGACTGTTTCTTAGAAACAATAAGCAATAGGTCAACTATGTTTGGTTTATTGAATGATTGTAAGGTGTACATGTATTTCTCGTTTGGTTTATCTGACCTTGTCCTCATTTTCTTGGATCATGTTAAGTTTATGTGTTACTTGTAGTAAAGCTTTGTATTTAGGACTATCAGCATAAAGTCAATGGTTAGTAAAGAAGGCGAGACATTTCAGCGTGTGCACTCTTGTTGAAAACTAGTTGCACATTGAACATAACAGAATGTTTTATATTTTCAGGCAGCATGCATCATTAAAGCCAAGGCAACAACCCACTTTAGATTATGAAGATGATGACTGTGAGTATATGGTCAAGCTTCAGTTTCTAAAATCATAGGTTTAACCATGACATTTTTTTTTATTGTAACAAAAAGAAAACTGTGCAAAACCAGGACACAAATCGGTGTATTGAGAATTATAGAAATTAAGAAATCTAAGCTAGATAGAAAATAACATAGATCTGTGTGCTTATCTGTTATCTTACTTAATGAAAAAATACTCGAACTTAATTTCTTTTAGAAATCTATGCTAGTGCCCGTTTGAATATAACACGTTCTAAAACCAATGGCGAAAGTAATTTTTGTTCAGTTGGGGGGAGGGATCTCTTTAGAAAAGATTGACATACAATATTATATAACTTTACAAATTTTTGCACAGTGTTGACTGATATATGGAGGGACGCAAAAGTATCTCTTTTTCCTTCAAAAGTTGGACCATTTACCACTCTCTTCACTCCTGCATGTTCCTCCGCATTAGTCTGAAACAGATATAACATGCATAATGACTTTCACCTGTGCGTTACGGATCTTATGTTTTTGCGAAAAGGTTTACATGATCTATAGTTAAATAGAAAATTCTGCCACTGTATCTTTGCGACAATTCATGTTTCGCAGCACGATTGAATGACCTTATCTTTGTTTTAATTAAAGATTAAACAGTAAGTGTCATTAAAGCTTTAAATATATAAACAACAAAAATACGTCCATAGTACACGGATGCCCACTCGCACTATCATTTTCTATGTTCAGTGGACCGTGAACTTGGGGTCAAAACTCTAATTTGGAATTAAAATTAGAAAGATCATATCATAGGGAACATGATACTAAGTTTCAAGTTGATTGGACTTCAACTTCATCAAGAACTACCTTGACCAAAAAGTTTAACCTGAAGCGGGACAGACGGACGAACGCACAGACCGAAACACATAATGCCCCAAGGTGGGGCATAACAATGTGTGTTTTGTTCTTATTTATATTGATGTCAATGTTGTTTTGGTCATTTCCGTTGCCTTGCAAAACATTGGTACTTTCTTATACAAGGTAAAAAGGAAAATTTAAGATGATAAAATATTGATTTGTTCTGTATTAAAATGTACATTTATCTACAAAAAAGACAATTTATTTACTTATATGAAAGATGGCAAGTGAAGATTTCCACAAAATAAATGCATTATCTTTCTCCAACCGTTTTAATTGTGTATCCGGGGAAGTTTGGATTCTTCTTTGATGTATGTCCTTATTATGAGAGTCATGAAAGGGGTCATTTATTCATGTATTCTATAGTTTTTTAGATAATTTTTCTCTATACTTGCCCGTTGTTCTCCATTCTTCATATTTTAGCACCCAATTATCATGGTTATCCTCTTTGCCTTATTTTGTGTGCCTGTTTTTCTCTTCCTTCTTTTATTGTCCTTTATTCTGTCCCTTTCTTTCATATTCTGTAAATCCCATCCAGAACATCTACTATTCAGACTCTTAAACCATTTTGTGACTTATTTAATAGATGTCGAGTGAATTTTTCCTTACCCTGATGTTATAAATAAGTTAAAAGTTCCGCGACATGTTCCGTTTACTTCCGGACGTCCTTACTACACATTCTAAATAGATGATTTCATGTTTTGTGAATGTAGTGACTCTTCTTCATTTCAGTATTTAGTTCAGCACCTGCATCTCTTCAACGTCTTCCAAAACACACAATTGATACAGATATTGGTTTCTTAAAATCTAGAACAAACATCGGAAACAAACGGGCTAATGAGAGCCAATTGCCACGAATTAATAATAGATCTTCGACTATAGGTACTTACATTTGAGTCAAATCATTTGAGTGGTGTGGTTGTATCTTATAACACTGTTTTTTTTCTGCTTATGCATTTTAACACTTTCTTCCTTTCCTAATATGACCAAACATAGCATGTGAAATGAATGCAAGCAATAACAAAATGAGTTGAGATGCTGCTTACCATCTTCAGGCAAACATCAATTATGTTTTTTAGTACTGAATAAATTCGATATGATCGGGCATGATTTCAATAGCAATGTAACTAAGGCATGTTCTATAGACGAAACAGTAATCATCAGTATCTCGACACGTGATTACTTGTAGTAACGTTTTGTAATACATTTCTCTGGTAATGTAGATAAGTTTCGATAAGACGTCATTTGAGTTTGTGTTATTTCCACTGGCCGGCATTTTGGAGGGATAAATGGTTGATTTTATTATTTGACTAATCAAATTGGAACATGCAGTACAAACAAGTTTGAAAGAAGATCATTGCTAAATCGTAGTGATGAATTAAACAAGGCGTCAAGAATTCAAAGTTGTCCAGAAAAAACAACTTTTTCTGAAGTCTAGCGGTCAGTAAAACGAGTTGAACTTAACTGATTTATGAAAGAATTTGTGCACATAGAACTCCAACATGGCGACATCAGGGGAGTAACCCTTGCTCCAATTGTGTCAATCGAAGGCTATCTACAAGAAGTCAGTATAATATGACATTTTGTCCTTAAATGTAATATCCCTGAAGCAGCCATTCCAAATCAGGTAAAATAGATAGACCAATATCATGTGGTAAATTTCTTCTATAGAACATGCAGTCGCTTTAAATATTCATTCGTTACATCTTATACGTTCATTCCTTTGCATGTCGAGGAATAAAACAGTTACATATGATTGAGGCGAATTCAAGAAGCATTATACTTTTAATTTACGACCGTTGTATTGTCACGTGATTTTTGAGAATACTATTTATAGCATTTGAGTAAATGATGTACAAGTTCAAAATTGAAGAAAAGATTTTCTAGGGTGAGTAACTAATTATATGTAATGATAGAGAAATTCTGGGTTATGTCTGTAATCGGATCTAAAAATAAATTATGGGCGCAATAATGACGTCATTTACTGGTTTACTGTTAACTTTTGTATCCCAGCCATTTTGAAAATCATTAAAGCCAAAAAGATACAGATCCGGAATGGGGAAAACATGATAACCTCGTTAAGGTATTTCCTTATTACCGATCTATTGAAAATGTGGAATATTATGGGTAATCTTGTTCGTTATAATTTAAATGTTATCCTTGTCTATTAAGGTGGACTAATAGTATGAGAAGTGAACATTTTTTTTTATAATACTTTGCGTTCAGTAAAGCAATGACTTTATCGGAATCATCAGTATTCCAACCTAACCCGTAAGTCCTCTTTTATGGGTAAATGGACTTAATCAAATAAAAGGACATTTGTACTTGTTCTAAAGTGTTTCGTTTTATTTGATTGAACATAAAATGACGGATATAAAAGGGATAATTAGCTTTAATGTATTATTAATTCAAACAAAAACATCATGCAGCAAAACAAATAAAAAACTAATGTTCACAATATGTAAAAACAACAACGTTAAATATATCATCATAACTTCTTAGAATATGACTCGATTGGGTGTGGCTGAAGATAAACCGAGTATTATATTTTAAAAAAGTAGACCTTTCTTAGTAAACATAACTCATTAAAATTACTGTCAACTATGTTCATGAATATATTCTGAGCTAACTGAAATTATTTTAAAAGAGAGGTGAACGATACCAAAAAGATGTTCAAACTCCTTAGTCGAAAACAAACTGACAATTCAATGGCAAAAAAAAAAACGAAAAACGACTAAAGGACAAAAACCGTTTACAAAACACAAGAAAGAAAACATAAGACTGAGCACACGAACTCCACCAAAAACCGGGGATGATATCAGGTGCTCCGGAAGGGTAATCATATCCTGCTCAATTAATTTTCACATGGATGCTTAAGTAAGCATTGATGAAACAAACCATTTTTAACAAATTTCTTATTCAAAAAGTTATATCCCTTAACGCAAGGGAATCCCCTTAAATGAATCGCAATCAGTTGGTAGATACTTATAAGGGTTAAGCAGCGTTTTGTAAAGCATTTGCAATCATCATTAATTCCCTTCTTTTATCGAATTTCCCATGAGTGTGTTTCATTTTCATCTATATCCAGTCAAGTTAAATTAATGGAGCAATAACATTATTCAAACATGTAACATTCGAGCACTAATGTTTGAGGCTAAGAGTGAACTTTAACAAAACTGTGTTTGTGGACCTAATCTTGTTTGGGCTCAGATCGAAATTTAAAAAATGGAGAAATGGTTAAATGACAAGGTCTATAAGAAATCGTTGTTATAAGGCAGGATGCATTTACAATGTTAAATGTCTGCTATATTTTGTAACAAGACACTTTTATTACTTTAACAACACTCTTTTTAATTAACTCACTGGAGATAGCATATAATTGTGTCCCAACTTAGGCTGGACCTTTGCTGTGAAGACAATATCTTTTAAATTGTATGGTTATTTGACACACGTCTTTCTGTTTTAAAGATGACAAATTCTTTCTGTTATAATCAGTTGGTTAAAATTTTGTTTCAGCGTCTGTGCATCTACACATTGTTTTTTTAATCTACAAAGTAAGCTTTATTCAGATCGAATTGAAAAATCTTATACATTGGTATGATTTTCAATACAGATTGTTCTTTGAATTTTATATTTAATATATATCGATAAATTCAAGATTAGAATTTCCCGTTTTGTCTTTATTTATTAATCAGTATTATAATATATTATTTAGTATTATAATATAGTATACAAAAATTGTAAAAAGAATCAAACTAACTAAAATATTGGTCGTTCGCCCTTTAAAAAAAGAAATGTCCAAAGAGAGACAGTACCGCTGACATTACAATAAAAGGAAATATATATTCTGACCATTAACTATAGGTATCTACCGTTTCTTTTTGATACCATCTTAATGAACACATACAACATTTGAGAATACAGCAAAGATCTAGTCCAGGTCAGCGGCATTGACAAAGCCTTAAAGTTAATATTTCGTTTATATACGCAATCGTTCTGAACCCAAACGTAGTGTGCGATATAGCTCACCAAAACGCAGGCATGACATTTCAAAGAACTAAAACTATCATGTTGGTTTTATTTGTGAAATAATATAATGCAGTTATGAATAAAAAAACTTAAAAATCATTTTGCTAAAATTCAACATTAAATCATGAAATATGTTCCATCTTGTTTGGAAAAATTTACAACTCACTAGGTGCTTTTTTCTTTCCTCATGCAGGCCTTGGTTCATCGTCTCCAGTTTTACTGTCTAAAGAAAAGCGTACAGTTGATCAAATTAAAGCTAGAATAAGCATACCAACAGGTTTGATCTTATCAAGTCATTCATAAAATAAACTTTGAACTTTTGAACTTTAAGAAAACAAAAAAGGTTGATCATGCTGTTTGGTTGATGCTAAACGCCGTATGAATAACTTTGGTGATGGCAATAAATGTATTTATGTATCATGTTGTCTTTGTATTTTGTTTAAATATATTCACTGTTTGAAGTCTGCTTTATGCCTGAGTTTGTTACAAAAACTTGCAGCAACATATTCCTGAAAGTACTAAATACTGAATATAGTTCATGAATGTCTTCCGGACTAAAAGTATCCATTTTAAAATTGACCACGTGGTCACTTCAAAAGCCAGAGTGTGAATACGAAATTCATATCATGAAATCGGATTTCTTTATTCGATCTTCAGAAACAGAACAATGGAAATTTTTCTGTACATTTTTCTGTAGAGTCTCTGAAAATGATTAGTATTTAAAAATTATTTTGAAGTCAATCTGTATTAAATATTATCAACCTTTTACTACTGACATGGTATCGTACTTTTATAAGTTATGGACGTTATCATATTTGTTCAGACTTTTTTTATTATAAAGGTACCATGGAATAGATAAAACAGAATTGTACTCAAACATTGGGAAAACGTTGTTGTAATGTATGTGTATAAGCTTTTTCTGTATTGATAGCGTCGAAATAAAAGTCATCATTGAAATGTAATCAGGATAGAATTTGGCTAACAAATGTGTACTCAAATTATAATAATAAATTAAATATTTAAAATTGTAAATCGTTGTAATGATTTTTACATATGAAATTATCAGCGTTTTACTCAATACGTCCTTTTCACCTTTTAAAAGATTTCTGAAATAAAGATGTAACACATTTTTGGCAGATTAACGTTACGTAAATAATGCGAAAATTTTGTTTAGAGTAGATTTAAAGGATTTAACAATTTGATATCCTTTTCCTAGAGTATTATCATCATCTTGTATTTTATACTATTCATTGTTAATTTTTTTAATGGACTCGCGATATTAAATTTCTGTTACAGTTGTAGATTTAAATAAAATCGGTCATTTGTCGAGCAAGAGAACACTATCGTGTATGTATATAACGCATGCGCAAATTCTAACAATGATGACTTCAACGCACGAGATTTTTCACTTCTTGTTTTTGATGTGGAGTGTCGCATATATTTTTTTAGCTCAATATAACACCTGCTGTATGCTTATCTACTAGAAGATTGAACTAAACATTCATTTAGATCTAGTTCATTAGAAGAAAACAGGAAGGTATTAAGTCGTATATTTTGAATGTAGTTGATGGGAAATTGCCACTGTTTTCAAAAGTGCAAGAGTTTAACCCAGGAAGAGTTGAAAGATTTTCCGAAGAAGGACCATGGACACCACGATCAGTGACCCGGTCAGGTACATTTGTTCCACACTTTCCAGTACTGTAAAACTAATCAGCATTGTGTGCAGCATTATATGACGGAAGTGCTATTCCATCTAATTTACGAACAGTATTAGTGCTATTCTTTTAATATAAGAACAACATTATTGTTATGTAAAGTCAATGTAAATTCAAAGAATGCAACAGCCTTCTACTGTATTTTTGTAGAAACCTTCCTAAACAAAAACAAAACATATTAAGACCTTTGTCAAATTAAAGTCATAATGCATATATCTGTTTAGGAGTCCACTAGCTTTTGTTTGAAGTTCTTAATGCTTTACATTGGAGTTCGGTATTTTTGTTATTTTACTTTTTACACGGAGAACAGTTTTATTTCAGAATTTACATTAATATACAAGGACGCTTTGCATTTCCTGAATATGTCTATTATCATACTGCTTTCTTTAAAATTATATATACCAAAGTCTCTGACATTTCAATGCAAATTGTATACACACAAGTATGAAAAGCAATTGTACTACCCTGCTGGTCTTACTACTACGCACTCGTCCCTCCGCTTATCAAGTATCCCGTCCTTTAACATTACTTCATTAGAGTTATACGATATATGAGTTTGTGAGGAAATTTAGACATGTTAGATTGGTGATGAATAATAGTTAATTGTCAGACACATTTTCTAAATATAATATGTTCATGATATAAATTAGCATTTAGTCTATTCCATGATCTGTTCTCCTAGGTAGCAATTATATCAAAGAACACAAGTCTCTGGTAACCGAAACACAGATATTTATTAAACACTATTCTACTATTTATCATTTATTGTATTTTAGTGCCGTAAACGTTTTGTATCTTACAACGTTATTTGATTACAAAGTTTTTGTATTTCATTTTTAATACACAAGTTTAACTGGAAACTGTCGAGATAACATATTTTACCTTTTTTGGTTTATCGGTACATTCCAAATGAACAGTTTTTAAAATGTTGCCCTGTCTTTCTACCTCAAATAACCATTAGATAAGATTTATAAGTTACTTTCACTTGCTTTGCATAGTGACAATTAGATTATGCATACCTAAATCACTGCCTTATCAGTTCCCATTCAAGTGCTTATAAGTTATCAATTAACACCGCTGACAAATGTAGTTTTTAGCACGTTTGAACTTTGCTTGCATTTAATTGTAATTTTTTACACATACGGTTAATTCTGTATGATGCAATTTTTGGGAAAGGGTAAACGTAATGGTTGTTTTACAAAATTCTCGAAGAAATTAATCCTTCGTCATTTGTTCATTTTTCCTTGTATCTTTACCTGGTGCTATGTATAGTATATACAATTATCAGACATGTTTTGTTCAAAGAATATGCTTAGATTGATCTTTTCGACTACACTTTGTAACGAGTCATGTATAAATTCATTTTTGTATTTTGATGACTTATTCTTCTTGTGTTCCTCAGTTATAATTACTTTAAACACTTTTATTTAAATATTTCCTTTACATTTATATTTTATTTCATTTTGTTTAATATCCCGTTACATAATAAAAAACTCCAAGGTATATTCAAAAAGGGGAAGTCCATAAAAACTGACAAAATCAAATGTTATCGACCAACGGAACGAGGGAAAAACAACTGTTATATTCCTGACTAAGTACAGCCATTTTCCAAAGAAAATGGTGGGTTTTATAGCTAGCTAAACTTCCCACTGTTGTGCCAGTTGTTTATATTTCCGTTATATTGACATAATTGGGTAGCAACCCATACAGACATAATAGGTTAATGTGATAATGATTGGGATCCAGCAGCCACAACTGTGTGAACATACATCATAGACATATACACGTATGCATTGCCGTCAAAATAAAAATAAAGAGGAAGAAGCACATGCCTTGTGGTAGGAGTTCATAGTGTCAACAAAATAATATTGAATTAATGTGAAAGAATGTGGATTCATACAGATCTCAATAGTACGAATATTGAAGACTGGAGACTGGAGAGAAAAAGAATAAGATAGAAAGGAGAAAAAAGAAGGATGAAAGATGAAAAGTACATACTAGTAGGATGAAAATTTAAGAGACGATGGTGAGGGAATGAGAAAGAAGAAGAGAAATGAGAAAATAAAAATTATGAAAAAAATTGACTCCTTGGTAAAATTTATTCTGAATTTAATCGTAGACTATTACATAAAAATTTGATTGCCATTCAAGGATATTGAATATATACAAGAAAGGTGATTTGAATAATTGTATGTATCAACATTATCAACATTTAATGTACACATGTATGTATACGTTATATTGTAAACATTGTTTGTGAACGCAGTTGTGTGTTGTAGTGTATGATATTAAATAAAACTATAGTTCTAATTTAAACAGGTAAATCTTCTTTATTAATAAGCATGAGCTTAATTCTGCTTATTACACGATTTTAGCTTATTAACACTTGAATGCATTCAAGCATAAACTTTTAAGATTTCGCCAAAACACTTTCTACAGGTTTTAACCTTCGTAGATATATTAAAATAATACGGTAATGCCAATCAAGTTAACGTGTATATTTTATATTAACCAATTTTCAATCTGAACACGTCTCGAAATAAATGAATGTGTCATTAAAACGAGGTAAAAAAATGACACAAATATAACAACCTGCAATAGATAACTAAATGAGTAAAGTAAATACAGATGAAGAATAGCGATCGATTTAGCCTACTCTGTAAGTATGCATTAACATTATGAAAGTTGATAAACATGTATGATATTTGTTTGCATGCATTCATTTCATTGCATTATTTATATACTTATTCTGAAAGGACTGTGGTTCTATTTTCTTAATTACTCGTACTAATAGCATGGTCAACTTAGTTCAGTCTTTCTCTTTGCATTCTTATATATCTATTCAGTCCAGATAGCAGCAATCGATCAATTACATGCTTAAACTTAAAACTGCATATAAAAAAATTATTGAATTGCACATGGTTTTTATACGCCCGTTTACGGGACGTATTATGGTATACCGTTGTCCGTCTCTCCGTCGTCAACATGTCGGACAACAACTCGAAAAAAAGCTTTAACCAATTTTCATGAAACTTTGTTGAATTGTTTATATCTATTGACGTAAGCTCCCTTTCGATTTTTATAAATTTTAATTTTACGTTTCCAAGTGATCGGATTTTATTCATAAAAGGGGGTTTTCAAGTTTTAGGACAATAACTCAAAAATGCTTTGAGCAGTTTTCATAATCCTTGGTGACTTGTCTATATCTTTTGAAATAAGCCCCCTTTAGTTTTTTTTTATATATATTTCTGATATAACATTGAAGAGTTATGGAACTTTATTCGTTGAAAAAGCGACGGGAGCAACATGCGCTCATGGCGCAGCTCTTTATTGAATTTAACTGACTAAGCGCTTGAATTAAATGGATACGTATCTGAGAAGTTTTTATTGGAGGACAGGCAATCATTAACGGGTGATAAGAAGCTATATATTTCATTGAGGATTAAATTATTTTAGAAGAAATTGGTATCATTATATTTGCCTGTTCTTTCATATAGCGTTACTTTGAAGCCTCATATACCGAATTGCTCTAATTAATTGGACTAATTTATATTTTACATGAGGCTTAATCTGCGTAGTAAGTAATATTTGTTTTTTTAGCGATTTTGTTTTATAGATTTTTGCATACCAAATGAAAAACTGATCCTACAAATTGTTTCGGAAATTGAAAAAAAAAACAATTGTGAAAATCCTTTCATTATGTCGCAGTCAATCTCATGTCTGGTTACTTCAATACAGTTTACATTCCTTTTCAACTAATTTCAATAATAAGCAGAAACACAATTCTTCGAACTATTATTCTAACCTTCCATAGAAATGAATCTGAAATCAAAACGTATTTATTACGTGTTTAATCTTTTCCTAGGCACATATATTTATTTATGTCAGTAAGATCATTTATTATAATCAAATTTGATTTAGGCATGACACCAGCTTACCTCCGACGGTCAAGGACAAATATTCATCAGAAAGATAAATACTACACAGGGTTTCCAGATAGTAATGCACAAAAAGGACTGAAGTAAGTTATTTTTAAAGATCACTTACGTTATTTTGATTGGTTAATTAATTGCTGACTTTATTTTGATTGGTTAATGGATCGCTGACGTTATTGTGATTGGTTAATTGAACGCTGACTTTATTTTGATTGGTTAATGGATCACTGACGTTATTGTGATTGTTAAATGGATCGCTAACGTTATTGTGATTGGTTAATGGATATCTGACGTTATTGTGATTGGTTAATGGATTGCTGACGTTATTGTGATTGGTTAATGGATCACTGACGTTATTGTGATTGGTTAATTGATCGCTGACTTTATTTTGATTGGTTAATGGATCGCTGACGTTATTGTGATTGGTGAATGGATCTCTGACCTGAGTCTAATTGATTTAGGGATCGCTTACTTTACTGCGATTGGCTAACGAATAGCTGGCATTATTGTCATTGGTGATAGAATAGTTGTACCTTGAATGTGATCGAAGATTTTCATATTAACAATAACAAGGATTGTTTACGTATATGCCTTCAAAATCTTTTGCATTACATGTATTTAGATGTGATTATTTAATAGACCGCACCGCTTAAGTGACAGTATACTTACCACGAGTGCGGGGGAGTTGTGTTAGAAATTCGATCAAGATAAAAATAAAGTCTTTACAATTGGCTGTATTAGAGGGAAAATATAATTCTTTAAAAATAAATCAATTGGTTAAAATGGCACATTTTGTTTTAATACGTTCCTTTTTTTCACAACGCATCTGAGAGTGCTCAAATAATTTTTAACAGGAAGACGTTTTTGGTTTGGAGCTATGATATTACAGACAATGATTTCAAACAGAAATAAAATGATCATTCTTAGGAATATAATTTCTTTAGGTCATTGACGACAATTTTTTATCTGGTTTAGGGTAACTCCAAAGAGTGAAAATGTAAAACGAGTAGACATTCCCTCGGCAAGCCAAACGCCGCGAGTACCACACGATGTTGCGGAGGAGACACCAGGACCTTTAGAACCAATGAAGGATCCATACCCTTCGGAAATAGATCTCAAAGCTGATGTGTACGTATAATTAATAATCCATAACTTATTTCGATTTTACACTTATGAAAATAATCAGTTATATGAATTAATAATAGTTTTGATGTCTTATACATGTATAAACAAACGTAAAGAGATTAAATTACGTAGATCAAACTTCAATATTTAATTCGTGTTGATGGTAGCTCTTTAATTGTTTCAGTAAATTATATTCACAGCTTGTTGTATGAACATCTTTCTGTTGCTGAATACATACGATGCCTCATTTATATTTCGTTTGCTTACTTGTGACGTATTCCGCTGGCAAATGATTTATCTTGCAATTCTTTTATTAGGGCCCGCCGAGTTTTCGACTAAATGCCTTAAGTAATCACGTTGTCCGTCCGTCATTGTGTGAATGTGATTTTGACACAAATCATGTCCGTTCTGTAACTTTTCAAACCTCGTGGAGTTTGGCAATGAAACTTTACATGATTATTAACCACAATAAGAAGGTGTGTTGCGTAACAAAGAAAAAAAACCTACAGTGAAGGTCATGGTCAACGACTTACTTCAACTTTGTCACTCCTGTGCGTATACCCAAAAATAGTTTCAGGTTTGTAACTTTCACATCCGTTGAAGTCGGGTAATGAAACTTGACAAGAATATTCACAGTTTGTAGATATGTTATCGTGTACAAGGGAGAAAACTATACACACAAAAAAAGTCGTGGTCTAAAAGTTATTTTAACTTATTCACGCCTGAACATATGTTAAAAACTTTAAAACTTGCAGTTAGGGAAGGATTAGTGGTGCATCAGATATTTTCTGCTTTCCTTGGGTTTATGGTATTGGTTTTAGCTATGTTGTAATCGAATTAACTGCTGATGGATTACACAGTATACAGTATTCGACTGTTATCTTTACAGTGCTGATGACGAGATTGAAGCATTAGAAACAGCCAGAGACCGACCAGCATCTTTACTTAATAAACCTGAAACACCATTTAAACCTGCTACCCCTAATCCACTAAAGGTAATTAGAAATAAATACCGTGACTTGTCCTTTGAAGTATGAATGACCTGAACGTTAGTATTTTCAAAATTTATGGGAAAAAAAAGAGAAAAGCAATTGTGCAATGTTAATTGTAATTTTCTCTTTTAAGGCGAAGGTATGATATGCCCACTCCTGAATTCAAACATCAGTAAATATTATCAGTTAACATTCTTTTTATAAGCACACTTAACAAATGTTTTAGATATCAAAAGGATGTTTGAAAGTTGTTTGTCCCATTTCTTTAACTCCTCACGTAAAGGAAAAACTACCAAAAATACCACATTTCTGAAAATTCTGGCTGATGTTTAGATATAGGCAAAGGTAAAATCACAAAAATACTGAACTCCGAGGAAAATTCAAAACGGAAAATCCCTAATCAAATGGCAAAATCAAATGATAAAACACATCAAACGAATGGACAACAACTGTCATATTCCTGACTTGGTACAGGCATTTTCAAAAGTAGAAAATGGTGGATTGAACCTGGTTTTATAACGCTAAACCTCTCACTTGTATGACAGTCGCATCAAATTCCGTTATATTTACAATGATGCGTGAACATTACAGACATGATAGGTAAAATAGTCACAATATGGGTACAGTCTTTTTCAAAAAGCTATGTGAATATGTTGATATGAGTTTAATATCTTTTTGAATTAGATAGTTTATACTTGGTTTTCTCGACAACAAAAATATGAAACAGGATTTGCCTTTGTCCAATATGCCAATTATAATACATGTACAATAGTTTACACATTGACAGAAAAAAAGACATTTCTACACTGAATTGATCAATCAGTTCATCAAATGATAAAAAAAACCCAATTTCACACTATTTGAAAATAACTGATAAAATTAACTAGTTTTTGCAATTTTGATTTCAAAGTTTTGCCTTTTATGTCGTGTATGATGTCCGTTCCCTTATTTTTGACTGACTGAGGGTTGATTAATTTTGGGATAAAATGGCAGTTTAATAACAAACAAATTAAATTAACGGAAGTTAACCGATCATCGAATATCGTAAATCTATTTAGATAAATAAGATAAATAAAAAATAAACTCTCATTGTGATGCTAAGAATTTTTCAACGCTTGTTCTGCATTTGTTAAAAAGGGAAGTTATATACAAAGGAAAGCATTTAAAAACACCAGACTCGTACAAACTGAAAACAGCATGGCTACAAAAATGACGAAAAGACAAACAAATATAACAAAACATTACACAGAACACTAAAGATTGAACAACTGCAACCCAATTATAAATTAGAAGTGAACTTGAGGAATGTTGTCCTTGAGGTTTTTGATGAAATCAGACTGGTATTATTTCACTAAATAAGTTTTGTTAATTCCAAAAACGAAATATTTTGTGAATTTGTTAACTTATGATTAAGTGTCGTGTAGCACACGATCATCATTAACTGTAATCTTTGTTTGCAGTATTTCCGGAACTGATATTTTTCATTCTAATGCAACATCGTTTGTAACGTTCATTTTGGTTGGATAACGTCACAAATTTTCGTGGCATCAATTCACAATTGATGCTATGAAAACGTACGCACAAGCGCACACGAAGTATGATAGATTTTAAATGTATGGTTTGGCGTTGTTTTCTGTCAGTTTCATTAGAATGGAGATTACAATACAGTTATCTCCTTATTATAATGAATACAGAAAGCAATCAACATGACCAGTTAGGAAAAAAAACAATTGTGTTGAATGATAGATTAAATGCATTTTACATTTTAAAATCTTACTTTAAGTCCATCTATATTTCGGATCATTTCACCTGATATTACTATTATTTAAGTAAATTACTATCTTTTATATCAAACTTAGGTAAAAGAATTTCCGTAAACTTTAATTTTCAGTTTCACTGAAATTAAATGACTGTGAATCTTTTTACAAAAAAATGGCATGAAATGGCGAAAATTGCAAAACATTTCAAACTGAAAATAAAATACAAACATAAGAAGATGAGGTATGATTGCCATTGAGACAACTCTCCACCAGAGACCAAATGACATAGAAGTTTACAACTCTTGGTCACCGTACGGCCTTCAACAATGCGCAAAACCCATAAAAGACTATTTCGTTATTTTACAGGGATCAGAACTCTCACGAAAACTTCCAGAGGACGAACAAAAACAATTAAAAGAAACATTTAAAAAACTGGATACAGATTCAGACGGGTATGTATGGAAATCTGAAATGCATTACCGAAGTTCAAATAAACATCACTGACTTTGTTCATTTTTAAACAAAAAACAATGATCATCTGACATTTAAAGTATTGTCACTACATTCTTTTCTGTCATTGCCTGTTTAGTTTAGTCATACATTTATAGAATTGGTTAACTTTAGGATTTTTCTTTTAATTTCTTGTTCTCATTTAAGAACGGGGCTAAGTCGGTCCTTGTTCGAAGCCTTCTTTCTTTCAAATATGTTTGTTAGCCATAGAAAATATTTAGTATACAATACTACTCAATGATGGGCATATGCAGATTTTTAAAAATATTTAAAATGGTAATGATATATGGTTCTTTTTAGATGAACATTTTTTTACAGATATTTTCAAGTAATACGTTGTCAAATTCAATCTATTTCTTAGATCACAATAGAAGTCACGATTCATATTTTTGTTCCAAATTATGATACATTCTTGACGCTTTTATTTATTTTTTTTCCTTTTATGGATTTGTTTTAATTTTGCAAGCTTTGCCAAAGGATATCCAACAATACGAAAGTATGTATTATTTTTTGTTAGTGTTTTGTTATACTACTGAGAGCAGTTCTTTTCATATCTGTTCAATTCATTACTTTTTCTCGTATGTCTGTGTAGCACATGTAGAAGATAGTGTCGTTAATGATTCATTACATTGTATGATGATGCAACTCGGAATATTAAAATTGAGTTTTAAATTTATATTATAGGCATCTTATGTATAACCAAGTACAAACTCAGTTACCAAGATTATCAAGTCCGCAGGAAAGATTTCTCAAACAGGTAAATGATGACTTACCTTATCAACAAGACTTTACATGAAAAATGCGTTGAGGAGTTTTGTGATTAACAAATAAAAACTTGCAAACCAAGACTGAGCCAAGATAATGGTACGGAGATCAACCCCCCGAAAAAATCAATCATTTGAAAAGGACATAAGCTGTCAAATTCATGTTCATCAATTTGACTCAAATTTTCATACTTGATTTATAAATTAATAAATCGTATAGCCAAATTACAAAACGTATAAAATAACAATTAATAATGAATGGACTCGATAATATGTATCAGCATTGCTTGTGTATTTTAGTCTAGACTTTTTACCTGTATAAGAATGATTCTTTGTGAATCGATTCAGTCAACCAAATGTTTCATCCTTGTTTCACTTTATAGGTTGACATTCTTTAATAAGGGCAGCTAGAATTATTTTAAATGAACACGATATTCGTAAACCATCTATTGAACTATTTAAGAATTCAGGAATTATTCCCATTACAAAGAGAATACTTTACCACAAGTCATTATTAAAGTATAAATCAAAACATGAACTGGCACCAAAATATTTATCAATTCTTATTGTGCCTACAAATAGTAAAGAATCGTACAATACTCGACTTTCATCATCAGATAATGTTATTGTCCTTAAATCAAAATCAGAATTATACAAATCAAGTTTTTCTTTTAGTGGTCCAAAAGTGTGGAATTCACTATCCAGTGAAATTAAAAAATCAAATACTCTTACAAGTCATTATATTTTTAAAAGTGTGAAATTTATAAGTTAAGCACAGTGTATACTATAGGTGTTTTTTTGTTGTTGTTGTTATATTTGTGTATATATACATCTATTGTATATATGTGTTATACTAGATTAATCATGTGTTATTCATGTAGTTGATATTGTATGTAGAGAGCCTTATTGAAAATTGGTTTAATCCAAATGAGTAACTCTCTTTAAATAAAAATAATATTATTATTATTATTATTATTCTTTTTCTTTTAATTGCTGAACACTCCTAATACATGCGTTACCCATCTCTAGCTAGGGGGTTAGATTGAAGGTCATATGGATACGGATTCAATGAGGTCAAGTTATTGAATTGGAAGTCAATGATATACCAGCGATTTGATACAGAAAAGATCCCTCTTAAATTTTGGCTTACGATTTTGACAGATATGCAATTTTAATATGCATTATCGAAATGCATAAAGAAAAATATACCATCTTGACTTACTTTTTTATATATTTTAGTTTAAAATTTAGATTGTTTCATGTAAAAACAACAAAATTCTACCGTTGATTTTTTTCTTGCTATTTCGATATAACATTTTCGAAGTAGTACATAATCGATTCCAAAAAAACAATGCTGAAGATCTCATTTCCCTTTTTTGGCGCAAAATTACGTTGCAAAATAATCTTAATGCAACATCGTTTAGCAGCTTTTCCCTCCGTACATAAAAACGCAATACTAATTACTGTCATATACGAATTCATTGATGATAGAATAGAAAGCAGTCTTCAGTTGACTCAAATTGTATGCCCCTGCAGTAGATTTCGCATGCCTTAATATACATTTTGTTCGATTTCCATTTCAGATACTTTCAAATTCAAGTAATCGACTTGATGACGTCGCTTTCAATTTATTACAAGAGATAGTAAACAAAAAAGAAAAGAGGAGTAGTTTTGATTTTTTAAGTGTTTTAATGACTGTTTTAATGACTGTTTTTTTTTTGGCGTTTGTTCTTGTTGCACTTCAGTGTTCCTGTTGTTCATTTGTTTTCATCTTATAGTTGATGTGTTTCCCTTGGTTTCAGTTTGTAACCCGGATTTGTTTTCTCTCAATCGATTTCTGACTTTAAAACACCGGTATACTACTGTTGCCTTTATTTATAGAAATTATTCATTTCATCAAATTTAATTCAGATAGCATTTGTTTTTGTAGGTGTATGATATAACAAGTTCTAGTACATTCTTTGGTATAGAAGAGTTTATGACTATGTCAGCTCTCACAAAGGTGGTTAATGATCAACAGTAAGTACAAGTAAATAAGGTTACATGTCCCTCTTCAGACATGGAGTACATTTAATGATGTGTTTGACAAAAAGAATAATCTCAGGTTAGAAAAACACTGTTCCCCCTTAATATCGGAATAACAAAGATAAGTTTGATTTGATGTGTAATATAATACTGTGAATTGAAAAATAATTGCGAGGTTTTTGTTTTGCGAAAAATGCGACTGGGTGGTAATCTCAATAATAAGAACTGGCATTCTGATATCTTATACATATTAGTGTATGCAGATTTTCCTGCAATCGCAATAATAAATGCACGTAGTAATTTCTGAATTTACAGTACCAACTTTTAAGGTACATCAATCAATCAAAATGCATATTTCGAAGGTTAAATTAGTACCACCATTATTGTTTAAAAAAAAAACTCAACAAAGATATAAGTCTAATCATTTGATACTCCAGACGCGTGTTTTGTCTACATACGACTCATCAGTGGCGCTCGATTCAAAACAGATGGAAGCCCAAATCAAGTGCAAAGGTTCTGAAACCGAAAATTCTGATAAATTGTTCCAAATATTGGTAATGCATTCTTGGGTAGGAAAACCTTGGTGTTTCGTATAGTTTAACATTTTATCAACAGTTAATTTACAGAAAATGAACATATAAATAATATTTCATGTCTAAAATGCTGACTACTGGGCTGTTTGTACCAAAAAAAAAAAACAACCATAGTACCTGTCATTACAAGTTTATTGTGTATGACATGGTGAGTAACATATTGTTTGAGTTATGTAAAACCCTTTACGAGACCATTTATGCGACTTATGGGAAAAATCGTATATATTGCTCATATTGTTATGGTAATGTTAAAACTTGCTATTGCATGCTCAATTAATAGAACAATCTAATGGTCTTGCTTTTGTCTTTTTGCAGGGATGCTGCAAAGGAGGCATTCACTAGTCTTGATTTTTCCGAGCTTCATCATAATATAGTTAGCTTTATAGTAAGTTTCTTTGTTTAACAAAAGGAGTAGGTGCGGTAAGTGCCCAGTTTGGCTCCAAATATAAACTCCATTATTTTCAGATGGAACAGTTTTACAAGTGGATGCACAAACATGGTAGAAAGTAAAATAGAACGAGTTTTTGTAAGCTTTTCCTACAATATGTTGACATTTACACCAGTCATATGCCAAAACATATTTAGAATTTTGGTTTAAATTCATACATTTAATCATATGAAACATAAAACGCAGGGTTTGACAAACGTAAAACGCAGATTGTATATTTTAATAAAGATAAAATGTGGATAGGCCTTTTTTCGACGAATTTGCTATATGCGTGAGGCCTAAAAATCCAATTGCAAATCACTTGGTCTAATTGACGTCATAAATATACCACTTATACATAAAGTGTCAAAAAGAACCATTTTCTGTATAAACATTGTTTAAACTATACTTTGTGATAATGGTCATTTGATCCTAATTTGAAAATTTGGCCAAAAAAGGTGCCTTATAAAGACCATAACAATCGTCGTCTCATCGTCCTTTTGCCCATTTGATCAAGTTGTAGATATATTAGCGGAGTCTATTTCTAATCAACAGATAAAGCCTTCAACAAATATGTATATGTGAACGATTGTACAAATAATTTCGTTGTGCTTCTGCATGTCTTTTAATGAATCTTTATATTATTTCTTTATGTAGTCTAAACAAAAAAAAACGTTTATTAACGTTTATGATTTGATCATTTCTGTCCACAACATTTTGTAAAGAAATAAAAAGAACTCATTATTAAAATTTTTAAACATTTGAAAATAAACCCAGCATCAAAAGAAGTTGGACACTAATGCAATTAAATCATTAGTAAAAACGACTAACACAAATACTGAACTCCAAGGTAAATTCAAAAGTGGAAGTCTATGAAAATTGACAAAATCAAACGGTAGACTTAATCGACCAACAGAACGAATGGAAAATAACTGCCATATTCTTGACTTGGTACAGTCATTTTCCTAAGAACATTGTTAAACCTGATTTAATAGCTAGCTAAACCTCCCACTTGTATGACAGCTGATTTATGTTAATATGTGTCTTATTGTCATTTTTAGGATTTATTCCAAACAGTAGATAGACATCAGAGCGGCATAATATCAATAGATTCTCTACAGGAAGTACTGTGTGCAGCCATAGAAACAGACCTTCGATCTGACACAGAGTTATGGAATACTATAATAGATGTTGTTGATCCGGTATGAAAACTTATTTTATGCTATTGTACTTTCATGAGCAACATGAGTTGATTTTGTGAGTTGCTTTTGTGAGTGTTTGTTCGCTATTCGAAGACGATATGTCAGTTGATATCGATATACTACCTTTATGTAATGCGTTATACTGTTATCTTGCAATGTTCCATTTTCATCTTTAAACATTAACGTTTACAGCCATCTAAAATCTACTGCAATGGCTGGCTTCTTTTTGCCTTGATCGCTTAAATTTTGTGGATATATCCCTCTCCATGTTTTGAACGAGCATCTCCCTTAAGCAGATGAGTAAAACAGAATTCTGTTCGTGTGAATGCAATTATGATAGAGAAGTCAATACACACTATATTTTCTAGAACAACCGTCAAGGTACGAATGCAAATAAAAGTATGGAAAGACAAACATATCATCAAAAGGTTTGAGATAATTTAAACCAAAGGATCTTAAAAGTACAATTAAAATGTATCATATAAATCATACAGTTTCGGAAGCACTTGCTGCTTGTCGAATGATACCCGCGGGAACTGAGAGTCAATCGGCAGTGGTACATACCCAGTGGTAGTAATACACAGAATTGTATTACTATAGAACACAGATAACTGATTCTTCAACACCGTCAGTTCTAAAACAACTGCAATTTAAATCTTTAAAAAACTTCAAAACTTAACTAGCCCAATGTCCCAAGTTGATCATAATTTTTGAATTGCGCAGATTGTTTGATTTTGAAAATCAAAAGAAGGTGGGGTTTAATATAGATATCCATAGGATTTTTTTTATTTTCATGTTTAAATGATTATAACTCGAGAGCAGTTAATGATAGAAACCTTTGCTTTTCAGAAATGATAATGGGGTTATTCAAAAGGGTCGAAAGTCAGTGGTCACCTCTGAACTTTATTTTCAAAATAACAGAAAAAGCTTAAACGATCAGGAAACGATATTGATTGGCAAATGTTCTACACGAAAAGACAAGACATTTCATGACCTTGCAATCTGAATGTCTTGAATATGGTTGAGGTTCAGACCCCTAAAACATATATTTTATTGTTTGACATGTCAAGATGCATTGTATGATATGTAGGGTGAGTCCTCAAATGTCATCACATCCCTTGTATTTTAAGGATGTTCAAACATTATTCCAATTGTTTATATCTCAATCCATAAACCATATTCGCTCTTGTGTTTCATTTCAAGATGAATTGAATGATATACAGGTTGATTTCCTAATCCTTGTCATTTGATAACGTTCAAATATAATTGGTTAAAATACCTAGCACTATGCCATGTATATACTTATTTTTCATATCAACATGAATTGAATGAAAAATAGTGTGAGTCTCCAGGGGTCATCCCCACCCCGTGTCATTTGATAATGATCAAATACCCTAAAATTGGTTGATACCCCCACCCATAGACGATATATTCTCTTGTTTGACATCTCAAGGTGAATAATATAACGAGTGAGTTCCCAGTGATATATAGAGAATATTATATGGCTTTTTAGCTCACCGGGGCCCGAAGTGCCCCATGTGAGCTTATGCCATCACTTGGCGTCCGTCGTCGTCCGTCGTCTGTCGTCGTCGTCTGTCGTCGTAAACTATTTAAAAAATCTTCTCCTCTGAAACTACTGGGTAAAATACCTTCAAACTTTAACTAAATGTTCCTTAGGGTATCTAGTTTATAAAATTGTATCCGAAATTTTTATCCATCGACAAACATGGCTGCCATGGCTAAAAATAGAACATAGGGGTCAAATGCAGTTTTTGGCTTATATCTCAAAAAGTAAAGCTTTTAGAGCAAATCTGACAAGGAGTAAAATTGGTCAATTGGTCAAGATCTATCAGCTCTGAAATTTTCAGACGAATCGAACAACCCATTGTTGGGTTGCTGCCACCGAATTGGTAGTTTTAACAAAATTGTGCAGTTTTTTTATTATTATTTTGAATATTACTATAGATATATATAAACTGTAAGCAGCAATAATGTTCAGCAAAGTAAGATCTACAAAAAAGTTAATATGACCAAAATTGTCAATTGACCCCCTTAAGGAGTTATTGCCCTTTAAAGACAATTTTACACAATTTGTTCATCAAGTTTGCTAACATTTAAAAATCTTCTCCTCTGAAATACAGGTGAGCGATTCAGGCTCTTGAGAGCCTCTTGTTTAATATCACATCCGTATCAACCAGAGACACCAATATAATCCCAAAAGTTCTGCCTGAGGGATTATATTAGTTGAGGGTTGATACGGTGTGTGATATTGAAACAGCCATATCATATACACTTTTTTGTATATCTCAAGTAGATATTTTTGCATGTGACGTGACGTCATACAGGTTAGGGGTTTGATAAAGCCTTTGTAATGGTGACTGATGTCGATGACGTGACGTCATACAGATTAAGGCTGTGATAAAGCCTTTGCAACATTAACTGATATCGATATCATCATGGATGGCTGATACAGCACGATTGCCATTGATTGCATCACACATACAATTTACATGTATTTACTACTAAGTATATAATAAATATTTTTATTACATTGGTCGCAATGAATTACCCTGATTTCCGAGTGAAATAAAACCGATAATTTCACATGTGAAATAAAACCGATAATTTCACATGTGAAATAAATCTGATAATTCCACTCCTCTGACGTCATACAATAGTAGGTATTGTCAAGACGTTGCATCAAAAAATATATATAATTACTTTCATTTTCTACTTTATTTCCGTTAAAAAAACCATTGTCAATGTAATAAGAAGAAAAACTAATCCAAGAATTAAAATATCAAAAAATAATCTAACTCGTGACCGAACAACACTGATAATTAACTCATATGCAACTCGCATTCTTGAATTAATATGTTGTCCGGTCATGCATTGAATATTTTTCTATTTTTGAATTCTTGGATTAGTAATTCTATAATTAATTGGACTTTTCATTTTGACAATCATTTCTTCTAATGTATTCTATTTTTATTTCAGGCTGATGGTGTTCAGATATCTAAAGTAGAGTACCTTGCTCACTTACCATACTTTTTATCATTACGGAAAACAGAAAAACTCCCAAGGCCAACTCGAATGTGACCCTAGGAAAATTCAAGAACTTACAATTCACAACTCAGACATGGAGTTTTGAAATATCAAACCTCTTTCAACTGTGATATAAACAGTTTCTACAACTGTCTTTCATTTAATATATATCTGTGATGTATTGATTTTTCAATCATTCCCATGCATTTATTATATCAATGTCAAAATCAAACTATTGTCGTAGCATACGTTTTGTATGATCAGTATTCTGTTCATAATAAGCGATCCATCTTTACCTAAGGATCTTAAGGACTACATTAACAGAGGTATGTCCAGTAAACAGGAATGATAAGGAATATTGTGATAGCCAGTTAATTTAAATTGACATGGTCCAAAATTGATAATAATTTAGACATGCAAATAAATTCAATGAAAATTTTGAAAGAAAAATAGTGATTATCTTATGTGATTGATTGTTACAATTTTGTTTATCTGAATCTTTTTTATATTAAGGATGTTCGCTTGTCATGTTTTGAAATTTTTGTCAGATTTTCGGAATCTTCTGGTTTTATCCATGTGAATGCCTTAAAAAATTTTGCCCATTGACCCCCATTTTTTCTTTTTATAAATCTTTTACATGTATAATTTTAAACCATCTGTAAAAGTCTTATAAAATCTTTGTTATTTTTTAACAGTTTTTGAGAACTTGAACTTTTCAATGATAAGGCTATGAAAAATCAAGAGAGAACATTTTCCCGCCAAAATTTCAATGGCTAATATTTCGAAAACAAGCACATTGACCTATATTTTTTTGTTGCTCTTTTGGTTCCTTTAATAATCCCCTATCAATTTATACTAGTGTTATGAAAAGCTTTTTATTTTGAAACTGAGTAGCAAACCTCCTTTAATCAAAATGATTACTTTTAGTAGGACAGAAATGTACCGACTGCAAATTGTATGTGTACATTTGAATAAAATGAAGTATGTGTGTGTGTGTGTGCTAAAGATCAATGACATAACACCTCACAATTAATACATAAGAAAGGTAGACGTGAAATGTGTTGTGTTCTGAAATGCACAAGTGTCCAAACTTAAAGCTACCCTACCTTACTGTTTTACTGTTGTTTTCCGACTAAACACCATTCTTGATACCACTATTTCAAAACCGTATGTTTCCGTTAAGGTTGTTGACTCGAAATTTTACTCTCAATTACTATTAACAGAAAAAAAAAAGTTTTAAATCCTTAATTAACGCTTGTGAGTTGTTCTTGCATTTTAAAGAAATATCGATATATTAGTGAATTCGTTAAGATTAACTTATCGTATCTATTTTGAAGCGAAATACATAAATTAGATGACTAATAACACGACTTAGTATATTTTTATGTTTTCTTGAGTAAATCCCTTCAATTAGTTAGCAGTTTGAGTAATGCCAGATAAAACGTATAGAGTAATGTGGCATGTGAGATGCTCTAAATATGAATATGTTACACTTTTAATAATTGTATCAAATTGATTAAGGTATGAGAACATGTGTTTCATAATCATATCAAGTTATAGTATGTTAACATGTACTTGCATAATCATGTCTTTCATCAGTTTTGGATTATGGGTACTTAATCATGACACAATTGAAGTCGATATAGAAATACGAAAATATACCTATCCTTTGTTGTTTTTCTCTTCGTTTTTGTACATCTATACAGGAATGAGAATGATTCATCTATGTTTTATAGAATGCTGTCATCAATTTTATGATGACTTTTGTTATAATTAGACGTACTCGAAAAATTCGTACAATAAAGTTTTGAAACTAATTGATTTTCTTAAATTTACCACTGTTTCTCTTAATAACATAAGTACTCGGTGTCGATTTTGCACAAACTTGTTGAGAAGAAAAACAATATACATAATTGCATTCCTGAAAGCGTTGTTACTTGGAAGACACTGTTATGTATTTAAATACGTTTTTTTGCAATTTTCTCGACTCAAAATTTGCACAAATAGGTACATACTTTATTCTTGGCATGGCATGCAAAAAACATCAACCAAAGATGCATTTGAAGACAGAAATACCTTATAATCCTCTCGTACTCGTTCTTTTTGATTAGAATGTATGTAGGTACAGATCCAGGATTTTTGAGAGTCGCTACGTAATCTTCTCACTAAATTTGCCTCTGAATCTTAATGTAACAAATTACCCAACACTTAATAGATAATATCTTAATTGACCTGTAAATGTATATAAAAAGTATGATTCCGAATTCAGAGTGCTGATATGCGCTGCAGCTTCCGGAAAAACCGCTTTATATTGCAATCATGCTTTTCGAGTATTCGAATTGTATTACATTTCTTAGTTATTTTCGTTTGTGTCCTAACAAGTCTTGAATGAAGTTTTCTGAAAGAAAAGAAGAAAATTCAAAATCTTGAAACTACTTGAATGGGCCCTAAAAATCCGAAAAATTCTAATAACACTGCTGGATGTTTTGTTTATCAAATGCAATTTCATTTTGGTTTAATTTCTATAAGAACATTTTTAATAGATATCCGTTGAATGGAGAGGAGCTTTGAATATCCAGTTATTGCCAGTAAACTTCATTCTAAAGTTATGACACACAAGTATGGCTCATTACAAAGTCATTTCAGGATAATATGAATTTATGACACCTCAGCTTCAACGAGTAAAAATTGTGGTTGGCTTGAAATAGATAAATGCACGCAAATCGCTTTCTACAGTTGACACAATCATTTTGCATATCTACAATCGGAAAATATAGTCGGTTCTTTATAAAAAATTTAACAGTCTGTTTTTCCGTGTATCGTATCTTGTGTTGAGAGTCAATTACTGAAACTTAAATGATATATCTTTCGGTTTCATGATACTCGACATCTTTATGAATGGTGATAAATGCCAGTGTAGTCTAGTGTCACCGAAATATATATGATTACATGTTTATCAACAACAAAAAAAAAACCCAAAACAGTTGTTGCGAAACTGCTTATTCTGAATTCATATGGAAGCTTTTGAAATAAAAGGTTATATGTTGCAATGATCGTTGGGCTTTTCAAACTAACAGTGGACAATGAAACGTAGTAGGCATTTCTAGCTTCGACCATTTTACAAGTGTTTGTAAATTACATCGATGCTGTACAGAACCCTTTTCTTTTAAATATTCTTTGATATTTTGTTAAGTTTATAGCCAATTTCTGGCCAATAAGTTATATATAGGAGTGACTAACCTGTTCTTAAATGAAATTTTATCTTCATTACTTTGACGATCACCTCTCTATCTTTTTTCAACGTTTGCAGTATTTTTTTCATTTCTATTAAGCAAAGCACTGCTAACTAAATCCGTTCTGCGTTTATAATAAAGGTTTGGGAACCGATAGAAAATTAGATATCTACCCAGAAAATTAAGAACACATTCGATCAAAGACTGGAAAAACAACATTTTTAGGGGTCATATTATAAATATTTTTATTTTCTAAAACAAATCTCTAGAGTTTACCTGTATCGAATCTTTATAAAAACTTCCTAAGTATGAAATTGTAATAGTCAAGGTCGCTATGAAAACTGTAATTGTGCAACCTATCAGTACCAGTGTCAATTTTAAACATATGATTTTTGTCTCGCCTTGACGGCGGCGGCGTAAACAATGTATTTGTTTGTGATTAGGTCTAGTTTATAGTCAACCACTAGTGGTAAGTCAATGATATTTGGTGTGCAGTTGTATTAGCATTGGCATATTTCATTACCATGGAGATTATTTGGCTCCGCCCCCTGAGTTTGCTCTATTGACTGAAACTTTTGCTTAATTTTCATGTATTAGTTTGTGATTAGGTCAGTTTATGGGGAACCACTAGTGTTAGATCATTGATATTTGGTATGTAGTTGTATAAGCATTGGCATATCTTATTTCCATAAAGAATATTTGGCCACGCCCCCTCAGTCATGCTCATTTGACTTTGAAACTTTTGATTAGTTTTCATGTATTAGTTTGTGATTAGGTCAGTTTAAGGGGAACCGTTAATGGTACGTAAATGGTGATTGGTATGCAGTTGTATAAGCATTTGCACATCTCATTTCCATGGTGAATATTTGGTCCTTACCCCTCAGTCACCATGGTCTATTGACTTTGAAACTTTTGCTTAGTTTACATGTATTAGTTTGTGATTAGGTCAGTTAAAGATGATCCTCTAATGTTAAGTCAATGATATTTGATATGCAGACATCATTGACTTAACATTAGAGGATCATCTAATGTTAAGTCAATGATATTTGATATGCAAATGTATTGGAACTTGCAAGTTTCATTTTCATGGAGATTATATAACCCCACCCCCTCATTATGGTTCATCGACGTTTACATAGTTTACAAGTTAATGTTAATGTGTGTGTTTAGCTTTGTTTAAAGGGAACAACTTATGAAAAGTCAATGGTATTTGGTATTCAGTTGTAATAGCATTGGCACATCTCATTTCTATGGAGATGGTTTAGCCCTGTAACTTCAGTCATGGTTCATTGACTTTGAATATTTGCATAACTTACATGTTAAAGTACTGCTTTTTTTTTTAAATTCAACATTTGCATTATCAAAATAACAAATAGGCGAGACATATCTCTGTGTTAACAGTTTATTTAGACATCATGAATGATCAATTTACCAATCAGTATGAAATTAAGTTTACGTAGCTTAAGTAAATTACAGTTTGGAATTAAGAATAAAAAAAAAATAGATCATCAAAAGTGTGTATGAAATATGTCTTGTTGTATACTATATATACGTAAATCAATTATCAATTGTTTACGGTCATATAAACTTCATGACTAATGAACATTATTTGTTAATATAATCTTGAATTATTTCAAATAAGTTCTGAAAGTCTGGATCTGCTCCGTGTAAAGTTAGTAATATCCATTGTAGCAGTTAATTCGAAGCACTGTTTTGCAAAGTCATTATCCCCGATCATCTTTGAAAAAATTCCAAGGAAGTACGTCGTATAAAACATGTCTAAAACATTGACTGAAGACAAGTCACGATATACCATGCATTGAAATTGTGAAATTATGTTTTTCTGTAAAAGCTCCATAAATGCTTCAATGTATGATTACAAATCATTAAGACGGTAATGGCACAAAAAACGAATAAAATTTGCCATTGGTATGCAAGGAAAGACCGTGAAAGGATCTATAGCATCCTGTTTTAGTTCTGGTAAACTCATCTAATGTTAAGTCAATGATATTTGATATGCAAATGTATTGGAACTTGCAAGTTTCATTTTCATGGAGATTATATAACCCCACCCCCTCATTATGGTTCATCGACGTTTACATAGTTTACAAGTTAATGTTAATGTGTGTGTTTAGCTTTGTTTAAAGGGAACAACTTATGAAAAGTCAATGGTATTTGGTATTCAGTTGAAATAGCATTGGCACATCTCATTTCTATGGAGATGGTTTAGCCCTGTAACTTCAGTCATGGTTCATTGACTTTGAATATTTGCATAACTTACATGTTAAAGTACTGCTTTTTTTTTAAATTCAACATTTGCATTATCAAAATAACAAATAGGCGAGACATATCTCTGTGTTAACAGTTTATTTAGACATCATGAATGATCAATTTACCAATCAGTATGAAATTAAGTTTACGTAGCTTAAGTAAATTACAGTTTGGAATTAAGAATAAAAAAAAAATAGATCATCAAAAGTTTGTATGAAATATGTCTTGTTGTATACTATATATACGTAAATCAATTATCAATTGTTTACGGTCATATAAACTTCATGACTAATGAACATTATTTTTTAATATAATCTTGAATTATTTCAAATAAGTTCTGAAAGTCTGGATCTGCTCCGTGTAAAGTTAGTAATATCCATTGTAGCAGTTAATTCGAAGCACTGTTTTGCAAAGTCATTATCCCCGATCATCTTTGAAAAAATTCCAAGGAAGTACGTCGTATAAAACATGTCTAAAACATTGACTGAAGACAAGTCACGATATACCATGCATTGAAATTGTGAAATTATGTTTTTCTGTAAAAGCTCCATAAATGCTTCAATGTATGATTACAAATCATTAAGACGGTAATGGCACAAAAAACGAATAAAATTTGCCATTGGTATGCAAGGAAAGACCGTGAAAGGATCTATAGAATCCTGTTTTAGTTCTGGTAAAACAGCCAAAGCATTGCTATCAATGCATATATCAAGAATTGTTAAGTTTTTTATTATGGAGGTTATCTTTTCTTGTTTCATCAATTCCATCTGATCTTCCTGTATTTGTGTAAACACAACGGGATCATGACTTGTGTCTACCAGAGCAGGAATTGCTTTGTCTGTTAATTTTGACATGACATGGTCTGTAATGATTAATGCCTTTTGATATTTTGTATGACTATATAAGAATGTGGCCAATAACAGCCATCCTGAGATGGCATCTGAATTAATACCTATCAACAGATGACTAAGACTGCGTTTGTAATGGAAGTAGTGTTGTTTATTACTAGATATGCACTCCATAGTTCGTATTTCCGATACAAAGTGGTGTGCATCTGACAAAAATAAACTAAAAATATTTCTCGACAATCGACTTCTGGAATGATGCAGAATGTTATTTGTCAATCTGTAAATGTGTCCTTTAGCTCTTCCGGAAGAAAAAATTTGAATTGTTTCTTCTATCAATTTGTTTTTTTCACTCAATGGTCTGGTAATGTCATGTGAAAAAAGCGAGTAGTCACACAAAGTTTCTGATGTGAGAAACAGCAGATATCTTGCTGGTATACATTCTGAAGAAGGCAAACCAGTTTCCTT